ATTTTGATACTTATATTAGGAAGTTATATCTACATACTAACTCATTTCATTTTGTTTAACAAAACAGAGCTGTTTCCTGAGGAGATGGTAGGAAAATTTTAGGCACCAAATGTCTCTCCTCTGGAGCTGGAGCTCCTAGATTCCAGTCAGTCTCACATGACTTCTGCCACATAACTCCAGAGTTGCAATCTTTAATACTGAAGTTATTAAAATGGCTGGGAAAAGCATTTCATTATAAATGTTAATTATTCCCTTTTTCTCCTATTATTAAATATGTGTTTTATAATAAAAAGTTAATGTGTTTAACCAGGAATGTACTTAAAACGTAGGTGGCTTAGTTGTAAAGAACTGGCCTGCCGATCCAGGAGACACAGGTGATGCGTTTCAGTCCCTGGGTTGGGAAGATTCCCTGGAGAAGGAAATGGCAACGCACTCCAGGATTCTTGCCTGGAGAATTCCATGGATAGAGGAGCCTGAGGGCTGAGTCCACGGGGCTGTGAAGAGTTGGATATGACTTAGTGACAGAGCACACATGCACATACTCAAAATGTACTTGTGACCTTGGATTTTTGTGCTGGCTGTAATTTTTGATACATACATACATATAAACACACTCACATCATTTCCCTAAATCAATCAATAGTGGAGGACACAAGAAAATACTATATGAAAATAATTTATTATGGAAACAGTGAGAGACTTTATTTTTAGGGCTCCAAAATCATTGCAGATGGTAACTGCAGCCATGAAATTAAAAGATGCTTGCTCCATGGAAGAAAAGCTATGACCAACCTAGACAGCATATTAAAAAGCAGAGACATTACTTGCCAACAGAGGTCCGTCTAATCAAAGCTATGGTTTTTCCAGTGGTCATGTATGGATGTGAGAGTTGGACTACAAAGAAAGCTGAGCGCCGAAGAATTGATGCTTTTGAACTGTGGTGTTGGAGAAGACTCTTCAGAGAGTCCCTTAGACTGCAAGGAGATCTAACCAGTCCATCCTAAAGGAAACCAGTCCTGAATGGTCGTTGGAAGACTGATGCTGATGCTGAAACTCCAACATTTTGGCCACCTGATGTGAAGAACTGACTCATTTGAAAAGACCCTGATGCTGGCAAAGATTGAAGGCAGGAGGAAAAGGGGACGACAGAGGATGAGATGGTTGGATGACATCACCGACTCGATGGACATAAGTTTGAGCAAACTCCGGAAGTTGGTGATGGACCGGGAGGCCTGGTGTGCTGCAGTCCATGGGGTTGTAAAGTAATGACTGAGTCATTGAGCTGAACTGGGAATAGGTCAAAAATTAGAAAGTCATGGAAACAATTTAATCCTCATTTGTGAAAAGTATGCTGTGAGTCTCCACAACCAATATGTTATTCAGCAAACAAAATACAAGTGAACAAAACATAATTTCTCTTATGGATGAAGTGGTTTGCTATGGTCTTTCCCTTAAACTATCTTTCTTATGCAAAGATAATTCTCATATGAAATATAGAACCTAAGCAGTAATAATCAATATTATTCAACTTCCTTGGGCAATTTAAACCTCAGATGAACACAGAATAAAAACCATTATAGTCTTTTTTTCAAAGGGAAAAGAAAAAAAGAAAAAACAACACCCCTTCCATATCTGCCAAATATTGACCCCCAAATTACACTAGTTTCCTATATGTTAAGGTATTTTTAACCTCATAATACTGAAAAGATATGCTCCTTCTGCTTTTATTTTTATGCACTACTTTTTATTTCTACAGAAATGTTAAGCTTTCACTAGATAATTTTATATGAATTACATAATGCTTTGTTTCTAGGATACTGATCCAACTTTTGAAATGTGATATACATTTCAATGGGCAACCACGAAAATGAGTTTTTCACATGTCCACAAATACTATGCACAACATTTAACAGCTCGTAAAGTGGAAGCTATGAGAATTTTTGTTGTATTTAGAAAGTATTACAAACTGAAAAGAAACATCTTATGGAAATAGCAGCATTTTATTGAAACTGGAAAGGAGGCACAAACCCGGCGGTGGCCAGGAGCCAGCAACGTGCAGCTCGTGGCCCGGGCCAGAGGCCAGGCGGCCGGGGCAGGTCGGGACACCAGACGTGGGGCATGCGCCCCCCACAGCGGGCCCTGCGCCCCACCCCCCCACCCCCACCGCCCCCTCCTGGTGCCCGGGGCGGCCCGGCCCGCAGGGCCATGAAGCTGCAGGCTGTGATGGAGACGCTCCTGCAGCGGCAGCAGCCCCCACACTAAAGTGCGGCCGGGCCCCCTCCCGACAGGGGCCGCCCCCACCGCCCCCTCCTGGTGCCCGGGGCGGCCCGGCCCGCAGGGCTATGAAGCTGCAGGCTGTAATGGAGACGCTCCTGCAGCGGCAGCAGCGGGCACGCCAAGAACTGGAGGCCCAGCAGCCTCCAGGCCGTGGCCCCCTGAACCCCCAGCCCGCACCAGGGCCACGCCGGAGGGTGACAGGGAGCCCAAGAGCGCCCGGATGCAGCAGGCGCAGATGGCCACCCTAGCCGCCATGCGGGCCGCTGCCGCCAGCCTTGGCCATGCGCCCAGTCCCAGCTCGGAGGACGGGCCCCCGGCTCGTTGGATGAGGATGCGGCCCTGGAGGGGGCACCGGGCTTGCCCACGCCGCCCGCCCAAGGCAGGGAGGCAGTCAGCCTCCCCACGGGCGATGGCCGCTTTGAGGATGCGGGCTCCGACGATGACCTGAAGCCAAATGGGAGGAGGAGGAGGAGGTGCTGGAGGAAGGCCTGGGGGAAGACGAAGGGGACGAGGAGGATGAGGACTATGAGGATGAGGAGGGGCTTGGGCCCACGGGCGCCGCCAGCCTGGGCCCCGCAGCCCTGTTCTCCCACAACGCTCAGCTGCTCCAGGCCTTCCGCGGTGACAGTGGATCCCGGGCACTGGGTGGCCAGGAGCCCCCGGGGACTGGCCCGGCTGTCCCCGGAGGGGCTGCCCATGCTTCACCTCAGCTGCAGCCACCAGACCACGGGGACTGGACGTATGAGGAGCAGTTCAAGCAGCTCTACGAGTTGGACGCAGACCCCAAGAGGAAGGAGTTCCTGGACGACTTGTTCAGTTTCCTGCAGAAGCAAGGGACACCTGTCAACCGCATCCCCATCATGGCGAAGCATGTGCTCGACCTGTTCATGTTGTATGTGCTAGTGACGGAGAAGGGCGGCCTGGTGGAGGTCACCAACAAGAAGCTGTGGCGGGAGATCACCAAGGGACTGAACCTGCCCACGTCCATCACCAGCGCTGCCTTCACACTGTGCATCCAGTATATGAAGTACCTGTACCCTTACTTCAGTGTGAGAAGCGTGGCCTCAGCAACCCCAACGAGCTCCAGGCAGTCATCGACAGCAATCGGAGGGAGGGTGGGCACCAGAGCTTTGGGGCTCCCTCTTTGCCTACTCGGGGGCAGGGGCCCACAGCATGCCATCCTCGCCCAAGCTGCCTGTGTCCTCCCTGGGCCTGACCACCGGCACCAACGGCAGCTCCATCACCCCAGCCCCCAAGACCAAGAAAGAGGAGGATGCGGCCATCCCCATCACGGTCCCCGGCTGCCTGCCAGTCTCCCTGGCAGGTCACCCTGTGGCGGCCACCCAGGCAGTAGCAGCCCAGGTGGCTGCCCTGGAGCAGCTTCGGGAGAGACGGGAGTATGGGGGCCTCCGGAGAAGAAAATAGCCCTGGTGGCAGAGGAGCAGCAGCAGCTGATGCAGTGGGCACTTCAGCGGAACTTCCTGGCCATGAGGGCATAGCTGCCCATGAGCATCCGGATCAACAGGCAAGCCTCCGAGAGCCTCCAGGACTCGGCTGTGAACCTGACCAGCACCAATGGCAGCCACAGTATTAGCCTGTCAGTAGAGATTAACAGGGAGAAGGCAATGGCACCCCACTCCAGTACTCTTGCCTGGGAAATCCCATGGACGGAGGAGCCTGGTAGGCTGCAGTCCATGGGGTCGCGAAGAGTCGGACATGACTGAGCGACTTCACTTTCACTTTTCACTTTCATGCATTGGAGAAGGAGCTGGCAACCCACTCCAGTGTTCTTGCCTGGAGAATCCCAGGGACGGGAGCCTGGTGGGCTGCCTTCTATGGGGTCGCACAGAGTCGGACACCACTGACGTGACTCAACAGCAGCAGAGATTAACGGAATCATGTACACAGGAGTGCTGTTCACCCAGCCACCCTCCACGCCACCCTCTGCTCCCAGCAAAGGTGGAGGCGGCGGCAACCAGGGAGGGAACAGCGGGACCAACAGCAGCAGCAGCAGCAGTGCAGGCAGCCAGGCAGGGCCAGCAGGGATGTCTGCACCCCCCACGTCTACCTCAAACAACTCACTGCCTTAACCACTACACTCACCTCCCTGCGAACCTGCCAGATTGGGTAGGGGGGTCCAGGTGGGCCAAGCAGGGGCTGGGATGGCGGAAGATATGGGTGGGGAGGGGAGGTATCCACAGAGGAGTGACAGCTTAATGCCAAAAAGAAAAGAAACATATATATACATATATATATAAAGAAAATTTAATAAAACCGGGAAAATCAAGGAACACTTGCATTACTCAGGTTTTGGACATTCAGAGATGAGTTGTGAGAATATCAAAGGAAATTAGAGATAAGAGAGGCAAATGTCTACTAGGGTTCTCCTGCAGCCCTGGTGGACCCACATGGACTGGTGTCTGGTTTCAACAGGCCAATCCTGTTTACCTCATACATCCCTGCACTGTGTTTTTTCATTTTTATCTGTTTTTTTTTTCTTTGCTTTTTTTTTGGTCCATTTGTCACACACTCACCACACCTAGCTCCTCGTGTTGAATGAAACCCCTGAGCCAAGATCAGTTGAATTTTTTTGTTGTTATTGCTTTCAGAAACTTTGTTGTTGTTTTTTTAAAAGAAATAGTGAAATTCAAACTCTATAGGGTTTTTAAGAGGTTTTAGGGGGTTTTGTAAATATTCTTTTTTTTGTTTTTTGTTTTTTTTCTTTTAAGAAAATTTATTTGTGGCTCTAGAGTGGAAATAGGGAAGCTCATATACCACATTCTTTTTAGTAAGGCCTATTGCTGCAGCATTATTTCTAGATCTTCAAAATCCAACCAACACCAATACATCTGCTACTCTGTTTTGGCCTTCACAGCAGCCTCTTCTCTCAGACGAGCTTTCTTTTCTAGGTTCAGGCTTGTTAAAGTCTCATTTCTTCTGGCAGCCTTCTTGCCCTCAATAACCATCAATGTGCATCCTGCCACTGTCAAGGCAATCATTACATAGCTGATCTTCACCCGGACCTTGTTCCTTGCAGCATCAAGCATCTCAAACGAGACAGTCTCTGGAATGTCATCTTCCTTTTTGAAGCGACCTGACCGTATTAGAATCTTCTTCTCCCAGTCCGTAGGCTTGTGCCGTGGCACTCTGTGGCTGTAAGTGTGGGTTGGAGGCTTTGGACTTTCCTGGGGTTTGCTGCAAAATCCATTTGTTCTCTTCAAATCAGAGTTTCTGGTAAGCCTTAAAGATGAGAAAGCATCTCTTTCACATGACCTAAGACAACTTCCAGCCACCAGGCGCAGGCCGCGGAGGCTCCCCATGGCCGCCTACTCCGCCGACCAGCACAGTGCCCCAAAGCCAGCAGTGGCGCGGGCGAGCTCAGTGTCACCCAGCGCCGGGAAAATGAGGACGAGAGCACCGGTGGTGGGCGGGGCTTGTTTTGTAAATATTCTATTTTATTCTTGGAGGAGGAATCAAACCTAGGAAAAGGATATATATATCTATATATTTGTGTTCATTCAGGGAAACTGGACTTGAAAAAGAGAAAAAAAAAAGGCAAAAAAAAAACAAGTTAAAAAAAAAAGAAATTGGAAAGCATTGCATTTATATATCAATATTTTTAATATCCACAAACTTATTTGAGAAAGTAGTACAGTCAGTGACAGTGGTTTTAAAACGTTACACCAACTCTCTGACAGTTTGTCCTGCTCTGTCCATGGAACACTTGAACCAACAAGGCCCTTCTAATCTTATGCCAGAAACAAAATAGGACTGAGGCCAGGTTCTGATGCAATTTGTGAAGCCCTTGGTTTGCAGAGTTGTTGGTGTGATGGCTTAGCCTGTGGACTCCTCTCTGTCACATTTAAGCATTTATTATGCTTCAAATTGTCGGTCATGTTCAGATTTATATTCATGCCTGCAGTTTCCAATTAATTATACCTGTCATCAGCCTAGTTAACCTGCCTTGGTTACTGCAGTCTGAACTCTGGTTGCATTTTTCAAGAAAATTAAATTGCTAGGTTGTTCTAGATAATTATACTTCTGTACTGGCTTATAACTTTTGTTTTTTACTTTCCATTCTTACCATGTTTTGGGGCTTCCCTTGTGGCTCAAGATTCTTGTGGTAAAGAATCTGCCTGCAATGCAGTTTATCCCTGGGTTAGGAGGGTCCCCTGGAGAAGGGAAAGGCTATCCACTCTAGTATTCTGGCCTAGAGGATTCCATGGATTATGGATTCGCAAATAGTTGGACACAACTGAGCAACTGTATAGTCCATGGGGTCAGAAAGAGTTGTACGTGACTGAGCAACTTTCACTTGGCACCACATACTCAGAAGCTTCTTGCAGCAAACTTCAAGTTACATAGTTTACTGCAAGTTTAACCCTGTCAGATGGCTCCCCGGGAATGCGGGTAGGCGGGAGCCCTTATGCAACCTGTGGGGGGAGGCTTCCCCCTCCTCAACTGAGATGAAGGTAAGCCTATCTTTAACCACCCTGACTTTCCCCCTAACTCAAACCTAATTCTTGATCTCCCACCTGTTCTCACTTCTTCTGCCATCTCTTGTTAGGATCCACAGCAGCTGTCCCTCACACTTTGCCTTGTAACATTCCACATGGTGCTCAGTAAAAGCCTGATATAGACGGCCTCTTTCTAAAAGGACTGCAATTATTCTTGTCATGCTCTGGCTGTTTCTGTGGCTCTCCTCTGGACTGTCTCCAAATTCTTCTGCTCAGTTTTAGCAAGTTGGCAGAGAGTTCTCTCACAGGACTCTGACTTGCACACAAATTAGCTCGTGGTTAGAGCCCTTCTGCTCAGTACTGGGACTGCCTCCTAATGAATTTATTTTTCTTTAATTCTGAGCTTGAGCACAAAGACTCATGTTACCTTTAATATTTGCCTACATGGGAATGCCTTCTGTCACATGAAAAAGCCTGCAGCTATTTTGATGGGACAACAATGGTAACATGACTGATCTCAGGTTCGGCATAAATAGTTCAGAGGTGACCTGGTCTGTCTGGTGAGATGTCACTGAAACGTGTGGTGACCTTGAGTTGCTAAAGAGTGAAAACAAGCTTGGGAGAAAGGTAGATCCAGAAAGAACCATTTAGTAGACACTGGGGAGCGAGATGTGGCCCGACCTCTTGCCAAGCACATCATGATTACAGGCAAGTAGTGGGGAAGAAAGTCAGACTGCAAGGAGTTTAAGACCACTGGTTCATCCTAATTAATTGAACTCAAGTGAAGCAAAGGCAGAAAGGAGCAGGACAGGAAGCTTGTCCCTGCACTGGCTGGTAGAGGTAACAATGCAAGAAAGAAGTGTTTCAAGTCTACTTTTTCTGGGATTTTAGTTCCCCAAGCAGGGATTGAACCCAGGCCCTTGACAGTAAGAGTTCACAGTCCTAACCATATAGACCACTAGGGAATTCCCTGAGTCTTCTTTTAGGCAGAGGGAAATTAGCTATTAAAGAGGTAGAGAGGTTTTCTGTTTGTTTTTGTTTTGGTTGGGAGGGGAGTTTATTTTAAAAATGAGTTTTCTCAATAAGTTTACTTTATTAATTAGAGCAGTGCTATCCAACAGAATTTTCTGTGATGATGGACATATTCTGTATCTACAATGTTCAGTATGGTAGCCACTAGCCACAGGTGGCTCTTTAAATTTATTAAAAGTTAAATAAAATTAAAATCAGCTTCTCAGTTACACTAGTCACATCTCAATTGCACAATAGTCATAATAATTAAAACAAATAGTCATATTTGGCTGGTGGGTTGCACTGGACAGCTTAGAGTTAGAGCATTATTTTGAGATTAGTCTCAAAATGAATGTCTTCAAACAATACAAGTTTATTTTTCACCTGCAGAGATCCAACCATCATCCTAAAGGAAATCAGTCTGGACTATTCATTGGAAGGACTGACGTTGGAGCTGAAGCTCCAGTACTTTGGCTACCTGATGTGAAGAACAGACTCATTAGAAAAGACCCTGATGCTGGCAAAGATTGAAGGCAGGAGGAGAAGGGGTGGTTGAACAGAGAAGAACAGAGGATGAGATGGTTGGATGGCATTAAGGGCTTAATGGACATGAGTTTGAGCAAGCTCCGGGAATTGGTGATGGACAGGGAAGCCTGGTGTGCTGCAGTTATGGGGTCGCAAAGAGTCAGACATGACTGAGCGACTGAACTGAACATGTAAACCAATTAGTGCCAGAAAATGGGGTGGTGGGGGGTTTCTCCAGCTGTTCTATGCTTAGTCATGTCCTACTCTTTGTGACCCTGTGGATTGTAGGCTATCAGGCTCCTCTGTCCTTGGGGATTCTCTAGGCAAGAATCCTGAAGTGGGTTGCCATGCCCTCCTCCAGGGGATCTTCCCAACCCCGGGATCAAACCCAGGTCTCCTGCAGTGCAAGTGGATATTTTACCATCTGAGCCTCCAGGGAAGCTCCAGAATACTGGAGTGGTAGCCTATCTCTTCTCTAGGGGGTCTTCCCGACCCAGGAATTGAGCTGGGATCTCCTGCATTGCAGGCAGATTCTTTACCAGCTGAGCGATCCGAGAAGCTCCACCTAGTTATCTGGAAATATTGGTGCTTCCCACCCTGTATGTCTGTCATTTCCAACATGCAGGCTTCAGAGCTGTCGAAAGGAAGGAACAAGAGTACGGAGGAGCTCTTGGGAGGTCTAATGGGCCACATCTAGAAATGGTCTACATCATCTCTACCCATATTCTAATGGCTAGAAATAAATTTAAATTTAGAGAGTGCTGAGTCTCCAATAACTTCACCACGAAGAACTTGAAATTAATCTTAACTAGTGTGCCAAGGGAATGTTAACTAGTTCTGGATACAAGGAAGACACTGACTGATCAAAATGGAATTAAACGTGGAGCAAAGGTCAGGAGAAAGGGCATTTTTTTGGACAATGTTTCAACCCATCTGTTAATATATGTTGTTGATTAACCTAAGCCAGAGCACCTGTGCTGTTTAAGCGATCACACAATGCAGCAGCAAGCAGACTCACATGGGTTGAGCACCAGCTTGCACTTTAGTGGCTATATGATATCACTTTACGTTTTGTAGTTTTCTCTAACCTGAAATGAAGAAGAAAATATCTTCTATGGCACAATCTGGCAACTGTCCCCTAATATCCATTTTCTTCACCTGTAGTAACATAATACTTAGCTAAGTGTAAAGCCACTTATTTCCCAGCCTCCCTTGCAGCTCGGTGTGGCCCTGTGACTAAAAGTTAATAGTCAGTGGGATGTAACAGTGGTGTCCAGAGTCGCTTCTAGGAATCTTCCCTAAGAGATAACTTCTCTCTTTTTCCTCCATCCTACTGTGTAGAATGTAGATGTGATGGCCGAAGGACTGTTCTGGACAGTTGAAGACAAGTATGACAAAGGAATGGCAGAAAAGAAAACTGGAAGAAGTCTGGATCTATAAGGACTTAATAGGGAAGAGACACCATTCCAGCTAAGGGCCTTAGAGAGAGACAAGAATTTTCTTGTTGCAAAAAAAAAGAAAAAAAAAAAAAAGAATTTTCTTGTTGCTTAAGCCATCATTTTTGGGGTCCGTCTTAAGTATAGCCAAACCTACTTCTGATATACTTACTGTGAAGTGCTATTATGAAGACTGAGACACAGACAGAGTTGAGCATGGTTCCTGGTGCATAGTGAACATTCAGCAACATGGGTTTCCTCCCTCCCTTTTTCTACCTAAATAGGAAACATGGCTGAGCAACTAACACACACTCTGGAGACAAAGGCATATTCTGGTGTCAGATCTGCTCTATACCATCAATGTTAAAGTAAAATCACAGGAGATTTTTTTTTATCTAGGATAATTGAGAGCCATAGAAGATTTTCTTCCATTTTCCCTTGTCCTGGGCAGCTCAGAAAACAGCCAATTTAATTGAATGATTTTGCTTAAATACAAATCCAGGGAACTGGAGAGTATACGCCACAGCATTAATCATACTGAATTGGGCAGAAGTTTGATGAAGTACTTAACAGTCTGACTTCGCTTTATGAAATGATGGATGCTCACTAAACTTACTGTGGTAATCATTTCATGGTGTATGTAAGTCCAACCAGCATCTCAATAAAACTGGGGGGAAAAGAGGTTGATTTTGAAGACAGGTCGGCTTCTGTTTCCCCTCTCTGCCACTTACTACGGGGACATGGGCAAGTTGTCCTTTCTGAGGCTTTGCTTCCTCACCATTAAAGTGAAAGGAGGACATTATGTAAGGTTGTTGCAAGGATTAAATAAAATAATGTATTAAGATGCTTAATTTAAAATGTTACATAAAGGTAGCTATAAATGACAATACAAAAATGATAATCATAATATTCTCAAACATGGTGATTATGACTATGGACACAGTTATTTAATTTTTATTGAAAGTGGCAGGGCATAAGTCAGTAAGTCAATAAACTAGGTAGTTTATCCTTTTTGACATAGTAAATGCATCTGTAGTGTAGGTAATGTTTTCCCATATAAATAATGTTGGGAAACTTGGCTGTGTTATTTCCTACTTGACATTAGATAAATCATTGCTTCGTTTAATCACATGGTATAGTGGCATACATGAATTATTTGTAAAAAAGCATTTTAAATAGCACAATGCTGATCCAAGTTCTATAAAATTTAAAATGAGCTTGAAAGCACTAAACTTCCTGACTAAATGAGGAATTACAATGAACTATGAGATAGACATACAACACAAAAATTTAAGCAAATGCCTCCTTACCAATTATAAGATTTGAATAGATTCATTTTCCTCTAGATACTTTTCCTTGTAGCAAGCCATTCAGAGTCATTCCATAGACACAAGAGTCACTTTGCAGCCATGGTTGCTTCACATTATACTTTTCTGGGTCACTGGTGATCTTTATGCTACATTAGGGCTTCATAAAGAAACATAATCTCATCCAGGACACAGATTTCTTTTTAAGTCACAAGCACATACTGAGTACCAGACCAGTTGAGCCATTGAGAGGGTTCACAGGCCAGCAGTGAAGACAGACGAATCCAGCTCCATCACTGAATGAGTCCTGTTGGAGGTGTGAGGAGAGAGGGAAGAAAAGAGAGATGGATTCAGACATATGGAGGCGCAGTCAGAGGAGGTCTGAAAGAGGAAGTCACTTTTGTTCTGGATTTTCTTTCTGTGGAGAAATAAGCCCAGCCAAGGCATGGGAAGTAAACTGTATGTTGTTTTCAGGGAATGGGACTAGTTCGTTGTGATGGAAACTTAAGACCACCAAGGGCCAAAGTGTGTGCTCAGTTGCTCAGTCATATCCGGCTCTTTGCAACCCCATGGGCTGTAGCCCTGCCAGGCTCTTCTAATAAACTACTGCTACAGAGAATTCCTAATGCCCCAAACCCCTTCCTTTGGGTGCCAGGAGCACATAAGCCCTTTGGGCAGCATTTCAAACTGCCAAGACCCGTAAGACAAACTTTCTTCCTTTTAGCCCAATAATACCAATTGCTCAAACAGCATAAAATCATGGACAGTCCTGGCATTCAGAACATGAAGTGGCATATACTCTTTAGCTTGTTACACTTTTAGAGTATGTTAATCCACACTTCTAAATAGAAAAACTCTGTTTCCTCATCTTTCAAACAGGGGAAATCATTGTATTTACCCGATGCTTCCCTGGTGGCTCAGTGGTAAAGAATCCTCCTGCAGTGCGGGGGCCGCAGGAAACTTGGGTTTGATCCTTAGCTCAGGAAGATCCCCTGGAGGAGGGCATGGCAACCCACTCCAGTATTCTTGCCTGGAGAATTCTATGCACAGAGAAGCCTGGGGCTGAGGTCTGTAGGGTCACAAAGAGTCAGACATGACTGAAGCGACTTAGCATGCACATAGTATTGCTGGAGAGATGAGATTAATTAATATATGTAAAGTATTAATGATGCCTGACACTATCATAATTATTGTCTCAAATTTTATTCAGTTTTCCCCTCTCTATCAATATGAGGTGAGCATAGAGGCTAGATGACTCATTGATGGTACTTTATATTTTATATGTTCTGAAAATACAATGCTCAGATGGTACAACCTTCACATATTGCTCCTAAATGAATGTCTAGGGTCATGTAGGTGTCCCCTATGCTGCTTGCCTCATGAAAAGCAACCTTTAAAAAAAAATTATCTATTTGGCTGCACTGGGTCTTAGTTGCAGTGCACAGGATCTTTAGTTGCGGAATGCAAATTATTAATTGTGTCCTGTGAGATCTAGTTCGCCGACCCAGGATTGAACCCTGGTCTCCTGCATCGGAGAGATCAGAGTCTTAGCCACTGGACCGCCAGGAAGTCCCCCAAACTATAACCTTCTGAAGAGTGTGAATGGCCTATGTGGCCTAAGGATAGAGTCTCTCTCTTACAATTATGTGTATGGTTTGTGAGGCAGAATTGATGAGGCATGGCTACTGTGTTAAGAAGATACAATGGTCCAACCTTGGTGAGAAAACAGTTTATAGGGAAGGAACAAAACCACCACTAAGAACTGACCAAAAATACAACTCAACTCTGGAAATACTGGTCTTCTCCGTGTTACTGGCACAGACCCACTTCTGGTGAAGACATTAATCGCCAGCCAGAGCTCTTGCTGTGAGGGGAGAAACATCATCTATCTTCTCCATCTTTATCCATAATGTCTATCCCAGGGCCTGGAACTGAATACATATTCAGTAATCAATATATGCCAATTAATTCATGGATTACAGGGTGAATGTTAAAGAATTCTGAAGACTTCAAGGAAAGGTTTTATACTTTTAGTGCTGCAGGATAGTGCTAAGCGAGTGCCATTATATTTCTCAGATTGTAGTTTACTTAGAAATCAGCAAAGAAATCCATCAAGTGATCTTTGGGACCCACTTTGACTGGAAGCCACAGGAAATGCCAAAACAGGCCTTTGGGCTCTCTTCTTCCTACATAACCACTTCTTGGAATGTTTCAGGATTTGGTACATTTTGATCTCTAAAATGAAAATTAATACCACTTGGGCTTCTGTCCTTCAAACTTCCTTCCCTATTGTGCTTCTTTTTCAGAATCAGTGGAATGTGCTACATAATGAATGGAACCTTGATTTTCTTGCTGGGCTCTCCCAACAATAATTTGGGGCCAATAACTTTGGCTTCTCCCCCGTGGACATCTTGTACCTCTCAACCGCCCCACATGCTAGTGAAGAACTTGAATCTCCTGACTTCTCCCCTTAAATTTCAATCTTTAGGAAAATGGTCAAGGCCCTGTTCTACCTAACTCCCACCCTAGGATGTGTGGAGCCCCGTGGATCAGCACTGCTGCTGGGACTGTGCCCTGGCCCCCTCCTCCCTTCCAGGGGATCCTCTTATCTTAAAGGTCGCACACACAATGAGAAGCCAATCCTTTACCAAATTCTCAAAGGATGAGGCAGGAGAGAAGATGGTAACGGCAGGGATTTGTGATAGGATAGCTCAAGCATTTATTCTGAGCCAGTGATGCTGGACTGTTAGGGGAACATACTACATACTCAGGCTTCCCTGATAGCTCAGTGGCAAGGAATCCACTTGCAGTGCAGGAGACGTGGGTTTGACCTCTGGGCGGAGAAGGTCCCCTGCAGAAGGGAATGGCTACCAGTATTCTTGCCCAGAGAATTCCATGGACAGAGGAGCCTGGCAGGCTACAGTCCATGGGTCACAAAGAGTCGGACACAACTGAAGTGACTGAGCACATATTACACATTCACTTAAAAACTGCTGTTCTCCTAGTTTTCACGTTTCTTAAGTGAAGGAAAAATTTTTACTGATCATGCCTTTCTTCACTTAAAGTTCTGTAAATGCCATCAATACAGAATTGGTTAACTTATGGTACACCCTCTCCTGATTTTCCCAGATGAGATCAATAACCTCTACTAGATGCTCTCATAGCACCCTGTTTTCTCTTCCTTAGAGGTTAATTATATCCTTATTTTTATGATTATTAAGTATCTGTCTCCCCCCTAGACTATCAGCCCAATGAAGGCAAGAACCATGAGGATAGGCATTGTATACCCACTGCTTAGCACCGCACTTAGTATACAATAGATGTTTAATATTTAGATGTATAACAAATGTAAATAATAGAATACTATGCAGCCACTTAAAAGGATCATAATATGGAATCATTTATTGACTGATAATATAATGTTAAAAATCAAATTATAAAATAATAGATACAGCACAATCTCATTTTCATAAAAAGAACAGCTATGTATACAGATACCTTGATCTAACTGTTAATAGTGGTAGGCTTATGGATGATTTTATTTTCTTTGCAACTCTTCATATTATCTGAATTTTAAAAAGAATAACATTCATTAGATCCATTATTTTCTGACTTATACATGATTTCCATTTTGAAAAAAATCAAAAAGACATTAAAACTTTTTCTGTCACAAAACTTCACTTGAACATACAGTATTCACTTAGACAATATCAGAAACAACCTGACTTTCTGATTCAAGTGGGCCTCTAAAAAATGATCATGAGGATACCTTTATTTCTGTGCAAAATTTATTATTTTATTTTAATGTCCATAATTACCCATTAGTCTTCTCTCTCCCCTGATTCAAATTCCTTCTCAGGATATGGAGAACGGAATAGACACTAATTTCTTAGTCTATCCTTTTTAGCTGAAGACCAAGAAAGTAAAAAAATAAAATTAAAAGGTAACGGATTTCTGAATGTAAGACAATGTCAGTGAATGCTACATTTCAAGTACCTTCCTCACATTGAAGCAAGGTTGTAAAGGTGAAATTTCTCCCAATAAAACACTAAAACATTGCCAAAAGTCTAAAAATTTATCCACTTTAAACAAATACTTTCAATGGCCTTATAGGTTACAAAACTATAATTGGACATTTTAAGATTAGCTTATAATTTTCACTTTTAAAAGACATTACTTTATACAAATAAGACATTTACAGATGATAATAGCTACAGAACAACAGACTCCTGGATATCTTAAAAGGTAAATATAATTGCACTTACTTTGTAAAATAATTTGCATTATTGTGGGGAAATAGAAAATATATTTGCATATAAATTCCTTTTCCCAACTAAGTATAATGAAACTCTCTAAGTTTCATTAAGAGTCAGTTTAAAATAAAATTTAAAAAAAAGAGAGAAAGAGAAAAAATAGGACAAGTACTGTGTATGGCTGTCTGTCTCTTAGTAATATTCACTGTGTTGTTCCTGCCAGTTTCAATCCATGGACACAAAGACCTCAGCACCATATTAAAAAGTCATACTATGACCTAAAAATGTGACAGCCCTGGGAGAACTAGTACACAATTACTCCTTTTCAGTAAAAGCCTGACAGAATAGCTGACCCACTTTGTACCTCAGAACCGTAATCATACATTAGAGTCATTCACAATACAAGCTGCGATGAGGAATGTGTGCTGAAGAGCTGAGCTTTACGCTTTCTTTGGAAGCTCAGAAAGTTCAAGGATGTCTGATCAATCTTCATTTCAGATCTAGTAGCATAAAAGCTGGATTTTCTAAGTAGGATTTCCACAAATTAGAGAAGCGTGACACTGTAGCGCCATCGATAATTCTGTGATCAGCTGACCAGCTCACGTTCATTATCTGGGCCTTATAGACTTCCCCTTTCTCGTTAAATCGGGGAAGGGCCTACAAATAAGGAAAAGAACAAAGAGTCAGCCTCACTTGCATAAGTAAGCTCTAGCAACAGCAATGCTGAAAGATTAGGCAAATCTCCCTCCCTGTAACAGAGAAGTGGGCATCCCAAGTAACTTTTGAAAATGCTGACTCCTACCTTGCCCATCTTTGTGAGTGTGTGCTTCAAGCTTTCAGAGTTTCTCCAAGGCATTTCCTGTCCCCTGTATACTCTCTCTATGTACGGTAAATTTCATTTCAGATTTTTCAATTATTTAACAGCTATTTTCCCAGTACCTACTATGTACCAGGTACTTTCTAGACTCTGGGGATAAAGCAATGAATAAAACAACAGTCCTCACCCTCTTGGAGCGAACATTTTATTATATAGTGTTAAAGAGTGAAAAGTGCAAAGGAAAGAAGTAAAGCACTTTGGAACAGAGACAGAGATTGTAGGCAGGAGGTGGGAATAGGGGAGAAGTTGCATTTTATTTTTGACAGGCAGGCAGGGAAAGCGTCACCAAGAAGGTGTCCTCATTGTAGGCAGTGAGGAAGCTAGCCATCTGGACACCTGGAAAGACAGAGGGGAAGCTTGGCTGGAGCACTGGAGGCCCAGCACAATCAGCACGGCAGCTGCAGGGGAGGGGCCGGGTGAGAGATGGGAGGTGAGGTCACAGACGGAGCAGGCTGAAAGTGCATGTTGGAAAGATAAGAGTGATGGTTCCCAGTCTGTCTTTGATTTTTTTTAAAAACAGATTTTAAAAAACCCTAATTCATTTTAAGTATTTTTAAAAATGTATATTAAAATGAATTACTAAAATAAATATAAAGGTATACAAAATACAAGACCCACTTTTTATTGATAGGTTCATTAGACATAAAACCACTCTGTCGAAAGGGAGTGATATTTTTAAAAAATGCTAGGCTATCTACCAGCTAATACAGACTTCTGTGATGGCTGCATTCCTCTTGGAATATTTAAAATTAAATATTAAAGCTGGAGTGTTTAAAAGCTTTCCATCTTTGTCCCATTTTAACATTACCTAATGAGCAGACAACTTTCTGAAAAAAACCGGAGATCATTCTTTCCTGGTCAGTTATTCTTGGCTGTGGTGATGATTAATCCCTGGAAATTTGCCCCATTCCCAAATCACAATTAAAGAAGTGATCTGTTTTTGTAAGTAGCTTGCTATTCTTGATAATGTAAGTCTCCACACCTTATTGTTGAAACTGGCATGCTCCATAGAAATAAACCTAAAAAGATGCCCCTGTCATATTTGATGGACCTGAGTATTTAAGACCCACACTGGTGGCTTCCTTGGTGGTCCAGTGGTTAAGACTCTGAGCTTCCAATGCAGGGAGTACAGGTTTGATCCCTGGTCAGGGAACTAAGATCTCATATGCTGCACACCTCAGCCAAAAAAAGAAAGACCCACACTGGAACAATTCTCCAATAATAAGCCTATTTTTCCATTGTGATTTGTCAGAGTAATTCTAACATTCCTGGGGAAAATATATAAGAATCTCATGGGCAGAAATACTGTCCATTTATATATTTCATGCCTATCATCTGAATTCACTAAAAATGAATCAAATTAATTTATAACCATTCTGCCTTTTCTACCTTAGCTAATAAACTTCTTACTGTGTTTTATTCGGGGAAAAAAGGGAGAGCTGGCAATGAAAATTTCTAAGCCCTACCCTCTTTCTGTAATTAGTGGTGGTTTAGTCACCAAGTCATATCTGACTCTTGCCACCCCATGGACTGTAGCCTGCCAGGTTCCTCTGTCCATGGGATTCTCCAGGTAAGAATACTGGAGTAGGTTGCCATTTCCTTCTCCAGGGGATCTTCCTGACCCAGGAATTGAACCCAGGTCGCCTGCATTGCACGCAGATTCTTTGCCTACTCTCTTTCCGTAATGATCTCTTCATAGCCCGGATGTGACAGTCACGGCCTGACATGGGTCCCCCTCACACTGAGTGGCACCAGCCTGGGGCCATGCAGGCCACCGCAGCTACTTTCCCTTCACTTTGGAGTGAGGTGAGAAGCCACTGGAAGTTTCTGAGCACAAGGGCCAGTCACTGAAAGGGGACAACTCCAGGAGGAGCATGTGTGAGGATGAGTGGGAAGGGAAGAAGCAGGAAACTGGAGATGCTTTACTAGACTCCGAAGCAGGAAAGATGAGTTTGATGTTCCAAGGAGAGATCTGGTCTGGAGATCTAAACTTGGAAGCCATCAGCATCTAAATGGTATTTAAAAGCCACTGAGACTGGATCAGACAAAGAAAAGGGCCGGAACTGAACCCAGGGGTACTCCAGTGTTTAGAAATCGGGCGATGAGGAGGGATGGGAAAAGGAGACTCAGAGAGAATAGGCACTAGACAGGGAGAAAACAGACCAGCAAGGTTTTCTTCATGTCACAGTGAAAAAGCTTTTCCAAGGAGGCGGTACTGATCAACTTAAGTGTAACTAATAGGTCAAGAAAGATAAGGACTTAGAACTGAGAAATGGGGAGGGTTTCATGTTTTAAGACTATTTAGTGACAGTCTAAAATTCACAGTGGAAACAGAAAATAGCAAAAGAGAGGCGACACAAAGGAAGAAAAAAAATGAAATATTATTTGTCCCTACCCAACAAAGATTAGTGGCTCTATTAAGTTGCTGTGAAGATTTATCCTCTAAGAGATATACTTGAAAAAACCTTGGGTAAGATGATTCTGAAAAAATACAGCTCACAGAGATCACTGTACACCAATGTTCATAGCAGCATTATTCACAATTGCTGAAAAAATGGAAACAGCCCAAATATTCACTAGAGATGAATAGATTAACAAAATGTAGTCCATGCATACTGAATTCAGTTTGGGATGATAAAACTTAGTTCTGCAGATGAACAGTGGTGATGACTACAAACAATGTGAATGTAACTACTGTTGCGATCATATACTTAAAAATGATTAAATGGTAAACTTTGTTATGTATAGTTTACAAGAATATATCTATAGGTATAGTTCAGAAGGAAACACATCACTTTCAGAGGAGATGGGAAAACAAAACTTTGTCAAATAGGTACGATGGCTTGTTTATAAACTGAAAAAGGTCAGAAATTAGTGAGAATCAAATGTTGAATTCTTGCTGGAGGGGGAATGAGTGACTTAAGTTGTCCCTTAGAGAAACTCCTGATTTGGATGGAACAGTGTCATGGATATGTTCTGATCTTTTTCTCCCCATCTCCTCTGTATGCCAGAGGGAAAACAGGGCTAGAAGAGGGAGCAATTTAGCTGCCAAAGTACCACCTGCTAGAAAACAAATTAAAGGCTGAGTGGAAGTTTCTGTGAATGTTTTGGATGCTGACATGAAAGTAATAAATTCATGAAAAGTCTAAGAGACGCTCCATGTTGAAGCATTACAAATACAGGGAAAAAAGGTTCTTCTGAAAACATGAAGATCAAAATCAAGGTTAATGTAGTGACAATGACATTTAATAATGGAGGTTTTGAAATGGTATCTATGAGCTTATTTCTTTAACTCTGGTGGTTCTCAACCCTGATTTAATGGGGATGCCCAAGCCCGAGGCCCCCAAACTCTGGTGCACTTGGTACAGGGTGAGCTTGGGCATTTTTTTCACACCCTCCAGATGATTCTAATGTGTAACCAGGGTTAAGAATCATTGCAATCCTTATTCTAAGTCAGTCTCCTATAGCAGGGCCATAGTTTACTCATGCTGGAACCCCCATGTTCTTGTTTAATATGTAACTTTTGGAGGCTCTGTCCCCAAGGCCAAGAAATCTGCACTCTTAATCACTTCAGTGATTCCTGAACAGAGCAAAGTTTGAGAAAACTGCTCTCAGCGGTGTCTTACCATTATAAATAATGATTTGGACTGGCTTACTGTTATTCTTTGGCATTCTGAAATTAAGACATTTTGATAGACTCAGACTGGCTACATTTGTGATTACTCATAAACACACACATTTGTGCCTGGCATAATCCGCAATGGTTGATCCATACAAAAATGATCCAGATCATGAGTATTTACTCTACAGAGTAGTATAGGCCTAGTTCTTCTTAAGAAATAACTGGCTTATTAAGCCCAATACCATACTTGAACCTACAAAGTGAGGGGGAAAACCTCAGAAATAGTTACTCTTTGTTTTCACTCTCTCAATTTGCTTAAACTCTTTTGTCAACTATTTAACAAACACACCTTAATTGTTCCCAGGGCCCCAATTGCCACTTCAGGTGGAAGTATCACTGGTTTGGCATAGGTACCACCAATCTAAAAAAAAGAAAAAAAGTAAGAGTAGAGAAATTAAGCTTTTGAGGAATAAATGGCAAATGAAAGTTTCTATTTTTTTTTTTTTGAAAGTTTCTATTTTTAACTGAGTATATGATCACAATTCTTAAGTTACGGTTTATGTACTTGAACACTGCTATTACTCACTGATCCAATGTTGGAAAGAGTGAATGTTCCTCCTATAAGGTCATTGGTGCTGAGCTGACCCGCAGAGCCCAATTTCTGGAGGCGGTTCAGTTCAGTGGCGATCTCAAATACGGAGCGGATCTGAACATTTTTCACATTAGGTACAATCAAGCCCTGCTCTGTATCCATCGCTATTCCAATGTTATGAGAAGCCTAAAAACAAACAAACAATTATATAGTAGCCCTTTCACAGGACAACAGAAAGGAAAGGCTCAATCCTCATTGCCTTAAGAACTTAACTGTCAAAAGCTATGTTCACCAGATTGATGGTAATTTTTAAAAACTTTTCATTTATTTTGATTTATTCATTTTTGGCTGTGTTAGGCCTTCACTGGTACATGCAGGCTTCCTCTAGTTGCAGTGAGCATGGGAGCTACTCTCCAGTAGTGGTGAATGGGCTTCTCATTGTGGTGGCTTCTCTTGTTGCAGAGCAGAGGATCTAGGGCACGTGGGCTTCGGTAGTTGTTGCTAGCAGGCTCTGGAGTGTGAGCTCGATAGTTGTGATACATGGGCTTAAGTTGCCCCGTGGCATTTGGAATCAGGGATTGAACCCATGTCCCTGGCATTGGTAGGTGGATTCTTATCCATTGGACCACCAGGGAAGTCCAGTGATGATTGGAATGATTTTAAAAGGTTTTTTTGAAAAAGATAAACTAGGGCAACAGATTATTTTCATACATTGTTAGTGGAAGTGTAAGCTGACATAGACTTCCTGGAGAACATTTAACATTAGGTACCAATATTTATAAAAATGTGTGCTAAGGGGATAAACACAGGAGTATGGAGAGATGCACAGAGATGTTGTGTCAGATTATTTCTAAGATGGAGAAACTGCACATGATCAAAATGTTTGTCAGTAAGTCACTGGCTAAACAGATGATAAAGCTGTATTTACTGACATACAATGATGTCTAAAATATATTATATGGAAAAGAAAATAGTTAAAAGAAAATTTTAATTAAAAAATTATAATATTACATATGTATTACATATAGAATTCCATGTATTTTTTAACTGTATAAAAATAAAATCCTAGACAGATGTATATCTCAGCATAAACAGTTATCTTAGGGTCATGGGACTGAAGGTAAATATCAATATTTTCTGGTTTGAATTATTTGCAGCAAGTATATACTTAATGAGAAAACTGTATCAATCATACGGAAAGATTTTAGATTCAACCCCCCCCAAATATAAAGCTTTCTTCTTGGTTGTATATTTCTAATAAGAATAATAAATAAGAGCCAGCATCCTCAAAAGAGTTCTCAGTCTTCATAAACTTTCACTCCAAACACAAGAGTTCACTCAACGGAATTTAAACTTTCATTAATTTTCTCATTTAAATTGGTCTTGCTTTTTAAAATTAACTGCAGGAATTCCACTTCAAGCCCTCTTCTGTCTGAGGGGAGTGTGTGTAGTGTGAAAAATGTAACCCACTGCCTCACAGCTGTGTACTTCCAATATTCTAACCAGAAAACCAAAAGGGGTTAAAAATGGAAATCTGCATATCTGAACAGTGTTGTTAATTATTAACCTACAAGCACATTTGCACTTATATTTACACAAAATATTTTCACAACACAGAGCCAACCTTGTATGTTATGTTCTGGCAGTTTTCATCCACAGAAGCATTAAGAATAGGAAACTGTAGTAATCCCAAGGAAGCAGCCTGTTTAATGGGGAGAAAAATGCAACATTAACACTTTTAGCTCTGAAAGGATAGGAAATTTGAAGTGTTAAGAGGTGAAAGGATGGAGGGAGAGAACTCTTCTATAAATTGAGTTTAATCTCAAGTCTACATGTACCAGGCATTACTCCTAACTTATCGTCTATAAATGTGGAACTAGGTTACCCTTATCAATTAAGAATAAAAGATAAAGTCGTCAAGGTAGCTTGTACACACTGAGGAGATTTTCAAAATAACTATGAAGATTGACCAAAACACCAAAAAAAAAAAAGGTCTAAATTCTTGTGTTTTCCTCATTTACATGTAGAGTGTTAAAATTTCCATGGGAAGAAAACCTGCAGTTCAAAGAAACATTTTGAATTAAAACCCGAAAAAGCAGTTAATTATTTCCCTGTGTAGAAAGAACAGGTGACAAGGATTTGAGAAGCTAGTGCTGTAGCTGGTGTCCCTGCCCAAGAGAAGGGCAGAGCTGATGCAAACACTGACTTTAGAGCTTGTCTCCCCAAACTGATGGCATTTCTGTCTTCCCACTCTGTCTTTTCTTGCTTTCTCTTCTGTCCATATTCAGATTTCCCTGTCTCCAAAATGTTCTCTATAGCTGTTTCTCTGACTATTCAGGATATAATCAAAGTGAGACATCGCATTTGGTTGTCATGCCTTGCAAACAGTTTAAAAACTAAAAAATAAAAATGCTTAAGATTGACGGTAAAAAGAATTCCTTCCCCCACCACCTTCATCTTGTCCAATTAATGGTTCGTTATATGCATTGTGTTGTGTTATTTTTGTCTGTGGGTGGGGGAGTCTTGACAGAAAAAAAGAAATCATATCCCTGAACTGGAAAGTTAAGGAGTTTTATAAAGCATTTGATTTGATAACTATAACTTTAATCTTCTTTATTTAAAAAATCCATTCAGTTCAGTCAGTTCAGTCAGTCAGTCATGTCCGACTATTTGTGACCCCATGGACTGCAGCACGCCAGGCTTCCCTGTCCATCACCAACTCCCGGAGCTTGCTCAAACTCATGTCCATCGTGTCATTGATGCCATCCAACCATCTTATCCTCTGTCGTCCCCTTTTCCTCCTGCCTTCAATCTTTCCCAGCATCAGCATCTTTTCCAATGAGCTGTTTTTTTGCATCAGGTGGCCAAAGTGCTGCAGTTCAGCTGCAGCATCAGTCCTTCCAGTGAATATTCAGGACTGATTTCCTTTAGGATTGACTGGATCTCCTTGCAGTCCAAGGGACTCTCAAGAGTCTTCTCCAACACCATAGTTCAAAAACATCAATTCTTCAGTGCTCAGCTTTCTTTATAGTCCAACTCTCACATCCATACATGACTACTGGAAAAACCATAGCTTTGACTAGACAGATCTTTGTTGGTAAAGTAATGTCTCTGCTTTTTAATATGCTGTCTAGTTTGGTCATAGCTTTTCTTCCAAGGAGCAAGCATCTTTTAATTTCATGGCTGCAGTCACCATCTATAGTGATTTTGGAGCCCCCCAAAATAAAGTCAGCCACTGTTTCCACTGTTTCCCCATCTATTTGCCATGAAGTGATGGGACCAGATGCCATGATCTTCGTTTTCTGAATGCTGAGTTTTAAACCAACTTTTCATTCTCCTCTTTCACTTTCATCAAGAGGTTCTTTAGTTCTTCTTCGCTTATACATTACAAACAGTATGTTGAGTATAATCCAAATTTTGTAAAAGGAAAAACAAGGTATGTATCCACAGATATGAGGTCATTTTTCCCCCTGTACAGTACTTTAACCGTCATTTGTACCTATGCCTTGTCTGCCTTAACATATTTTTTCAGGTTCTCCTCTTCCTCAGTTTCTTTCATTCCCCAAACCCAACTAACAGCAACCAAGCTTCAACCTCAGCAATACTTTATTTAGTAAGTTCTGGTTGACCTTTGACCTTTTCTTCTCTCTTGGTGTGAGAGACTGAATCAAAAGCCCCAATCTTGCACGCCTCCATGTACAAATTCTTTGGCAGTGCTCTTGCAAGCTGATTCTGAGCTACGTTATGTGACTCACTTTGCTCAGTGAATTAAAAACAAACTGGGTGCAGGGCAGCTTGGGGAAAGCATTTACATTCTGCCTCCTCTCTTCATCTGCCAGTACTGAGCCCATGTGCAGGCTGGTATACTGGGCAGATAGGAGAGGCATGGGAAGAGAAATAAGTCAGTCTCACTAATCCTACAGCAGCTGGCCCCTTAGCCAACCTACTAGCTGTCTGTAGACATATGTGTGGACTCTGCCAAGATCAGCAGACTGGCTGTGCTCATGAGAAATAATAAATGTAGATTGTTAACTACAGAGAAACAGACTGTAGACCCATAAGAAATAATAAATGGCTAACTGTTTCAAACCATCAACTCTGGGGGTGGTTTGTCATTCAGCAATAGACACATGTGGCTTTTAAGTGACTTCCTGGTTCTGCTGTCATCAAACCACTGACCCCACACACCCTCTGCCACCACCTTGCCAACTCAACTTCTATCTACCTCTTAAACACTGATGGAAAAGCCTGAACTTTCTTCTCTTTGCACATAATTTGAGTGATCTTATCCAAGAGTTTCAACTGCTGTGCCTCTACAGATGACCCTCAGAGCTGTAATATAGTCTAGATCCCTCATTACTGGCACCGACTACATCTCATGTTTATAGAGCATCTCTTTCCTCGTTAGGGTCATTGTTAAAAAGATGGAGATACAGGAGAACAGCTTCTGTCTTATAAGACTCAGCATCAATGAAGAGACAACTGATTATAAATACTATCAACACACTGAGATAAGTTGCAATGAGAAACAAAAGGCTTATTTAACTCAGACTATGATAACCACCAGCTTTTGTAGGAGGCTACACTGGAACAAAATTTGGGTGTTTAGGATGCACACGCATTTGATCAAGGGAGGAGGCAGTAGTTCAGGCAGAGTTGTATATTCCAGGAGGTACACATAGCTTAATCTGACTATAGCAGGGGGAGTGACTGAGAGAGAAGACATGAAAAGTGGGCAGCAAAGGCTCATAGAAATATTCTGTTATGCCACAGTAAGGCATTTTCAAACTATCCTGAAGGCAATCCTGATAGGGAACCACTGAAAAGAACCAGGGGATAATACAGTAATTTGATTTATGAGGGAACAGTCTTGGTGCAGTGCGCAAAGCGCTATGGGAAGCCGCACTGAAGTTAGAGACAACAGTACACACTTTTTTAGAAAAATGGACCAGAATGAAAACTTAGCTTCTCCACCTGTTAGATATAAATCCTTGGCAAGTTTGTCAACTTCTCTGAGTGCCAATTTCCTTAAATGAAAAGAGGAAATAGCAATATTTACACATTAGCATTATTATGATAGTTAAAAGAGATCATGTATACAGAATGCTTTGTACAGAGTTGGGCAGAAGGCAGCTGCTTCCTAAATAGTGGTTAGGGAGCTGTGCAAGCTCAGCTGATTGTCTTATTCTTTTCATACTGGTCCCAAGGTCCTAGAAATGATTCCTAGAAGCCTCATATGGTTATTGAAAAGTGAAAAATCAATCCTGAGTCTCACTTTTGGTCAGATTAGGACTTTACTGGCATGATCCTTTCTGAATTAAAGGCTTTACCTACCTGGCAGGATAACCCGACCTAATTCAAAGAGATAAGTAGATAAAAATCTGACATAAAATATTTCAATTTTATAAACTTCTGTGAAACAAAGAGAGTATATCTGTACATTTTTCTGACTATATGATATCATGAGAAATATTATTTTTATTCAAACCCATAGTTAACACACTGCATATCTGCAAAACAAAATTTATGTCTTACTCAAGCCTTGCTTGAAATGAATGAAATCTTACTTTCAAGAAGAAGGGCATAAAGGAAAGTTTAATTCCACGAGCAAAAGCAATGGGTTTTAATTCTTCTCGTAGCTTAACCAGTTCAGTAAGGTCAACCTCATCACAATACCCAAAATGAGGTATCTTCAGGGCTGCAGACATGGTCTTGACCATTGCTTTGTGAAAGCCTAGAAAACACACACATATTTGTTTTTATTCTTAAAACCCTTGATCCCTCCAACAACTATAATAGAAGGTTCTCTAATGTCACTTACTCTCAATTAAACTCTTTCTCTTGGACCTAGCATCTTCATTACATACATTACATAGCTTGACAGTCACTAATTTCAATGCTGAAGCATGGACTGTAGCACAACACCAGTGTCAAGTGTAATACATAACAGGTGAGTGTTGCTAAGTCATTTCAGTCACGTCTGACTATTTGCAACTCTACGGACTATAGATTGCCAGGCTCCTCTGTTCATGGGATTCTCCAGGCAAGAATGCTGGAGTGCGTTGCCATTCCCTCCTCCAGGGGATCTTCCCTACCCAGGGATTGAACCTGTATCTCTTATGTCTCCTGCACTGGCAGATTCTTTACCAATAGCACCACCCGGAAAGCCCAATATAATAGGTAACTGCTTTGCAAGCTGTAGTGTATATAAAATTCAAAAGGATGCAAGCCACATATTTACACAATGGCTTTCTCGCAAAGTCACTTCTGGAAGTTAATTATCCTAAGAGTTTGTACATAAATCAGAAGTACTTGTTTTGAAATCTAACAAAAAATAATAAATATTTAAAATATCCCGAACAAGTCTTCAAGCAGAAAAATTACTTCCAAAATCATTGCAGATGGTGACTGCAGCCATGAAATTAAAAGACGCTTGGTCCTTGAAAGAAAAGCTATGACCAACCTAGACAGCATATTAAAAAGCAGAGACATTACTTTGCCAACAAAGATCTGTCTAGTCAAAGATATGGTTTTTCCAGTAGTCATGTATGGATGTGAGAGTTGGACTATAAAGAAAGCTGAGCACTGAAGAATTGATACTTTTGAACTGTGGTGTTGGAGAAGGCTCTTGAGAGTCCCTTGGACTGCAAGGAGATCAAACCAGTCATTTCTAAAGGAAATCAATCCTGAATATTCACTGGAAGGACTGATACTGAAGCTCAATACTTTGGGCACCTGATTCGAAGAACTGACTCATTGGAAGAGACCCTGATGCTGGGAAAGACTGAAGGCAGGAGGAGAAGGGGACGACAGAGGATAAGATGGTTGGATGGCATCACTGATTCAATGGACATGAGTTTGAGCAAGCTCCAGGAGCTGGTGAGGGACGGAAGTCTGGCGTGCTGTAGTCCATGGGGTCGCAAAGAGTCGGACACAACTGTGCAACTGAACTGAACTGAGCAAGTCTTAAAACAGAGAAATTATCTGTAGGCAAGTTTATATGTTAAGAAACCTGCTAACATATTACTCCTCAAAACTTATCAGTATATATTAAAGCTTTTCCTAGAAAAATTATAATTTCATAATGCTGAAGCAACTTCCCCCCAAAGAAATGGCACTATTCCTTTACATTACTGTTATTGTTACCTTTCACGGGTTCGGTTCTGTCTTTGCCTGTGAACACTGGAGGCTTTGATATTGGAATAGGAATAGTTCTGTCTTTTGGTTTTGGTGGAGGCGGCATGATTTCAGCTTTTGGTGAAGGAGGTAGTATAGCTCCTGTTTGCTTTTCCAGATAATTGAGAATATCTTCTTTAAGTATTCTCCCATCTTTTCCTGAGCCAATAACTTCACTCAGCTTAATCTAAGAAAAAGGACACCTTTTTAATGCTAAAAATAAAACTACCTAAAAATAAATAAATCCATCATTATGGTCTCTAAGTGGAATTAAATGAACTGAAGGTAAAGTATCTCTGACCAATAAATTAGTATAAGGAAATAACATTTTCTTTATCCTGACAGAATACTATAAACTATAACATTTTCTTTTTTTTAATTATAACATTTTCATCATCTCAATTGAATACTATAAACTACAGCTACACTAGTCATTTGTTACTTTTCTACCTACTGTTCTTTACCCATGTAGTAACAATGTAATAACTACATTGTATATAGCTATTTTTGAAAATATATTTTTAAACAACTATTTCTAAATTCCTTGCATAATTCTTATTGGATTTTGTTTTTCTTTTCCTGAAGACTACATAAGAAGAACCGAGCATTTAAAGAAGAGTTAAACACTTTAACAAACGCAGATCAATATTTCTGACCTTGGCTACCAGTATACACACAATGGCTAAAATAATCATCCAACAAAAGCTCTCTGTAACAGCTACATTCTGCTATATTTTAAATGGATAATCAACAAAGACCTAATACATAGCTCAGAGAACTCTGCTCAATGATATGTGGAAGCCTAGATGGGAGGGAGTTTGGGGGAGAATGAATACATGTATATGTATGGCTGACTCCCTTTGCTGTCGGCCTATTATCTACCATAACATCATTAATTGGCCATACTCCAATATAAAATAAAAAGTTCAGTTTAAAACAAAAAACTCTGTCAGCTTTTCCCTGATGGTTGTTTTACAAAGATCAGTACAAAACATTGAAATGAACTTTATTGAGGCATATTTGGAATGTGACTTCCTCAGCCCAAGTTAAGGATCAACACCTAAGTTTTATTAAGGTATTCCACAGAATAAACAATTGATGATGCAATTCCACTTTCTACTAGTCACTCGTGATACTTTTTGGAAACATTTATGATCTGGATTTATTTAATCACTTCCTATGTTTGCTTATAGAGATAAAATATTTTCACTAAATTGAATTCTGCATAAAAAGACATATAAACTTGGATGATACCCTCCTGCATAGTGTATATTAATCTCTCAAGGTTAAATCCTGCCTTATTTATATAGTGTTTCTCTAAGAATGATTTCAAAAGAATAAAGGACTTTATCACATCAAACATTTAGTTTATAATGAGTAAACTCTAAGAATTTAAACAAATAATTTTTAGGTAATTACAAACTCTGAGTGCCACTGGTTTTAAACTCTATTCATTAATATGCAAGCTAAAAAAAAGGGACAGGGAAGAGTTGTTTTATAATAATAAGTCTGCTATTTAATTTCTAGTAATTATACAAATGCCCTAATTATATATATATATCTTTAGAAAGACACAGGAAAGCTACATCATACATTTCTATGGGTAGTCCTTCTATATAATTTTTTAAAATGGTAAAATGTTTATAGCTTTCAAAGAAATATAGAAGATCATTATTTCATCTAATACCTTAACAATCTAGTATCCCATAATACCATTTCTATTGCTCTAGTTCAACAAATCGTCTTCATATCTGAACACATTTAATGGCTAATCAATTTTCATTAATGGTATAGAACATAATTTTCCTAAGCATTTCCCTGATTTTGATCACATATGTGCCTTCTAGTTTCTGGCTATATAAAACACTTGGAAGACTATATCCTAGATGACCTTCCTCAGTGGTGGGATAACTAGCTGAAGAGATATGAACATTTTAATGACTCTTACTACATATTCCCAAAATGTAAACATTTTTTCCCACTGTAACTAAACTACTCTCAAAAAGAGACAAACAAAAACCCTGCACTGTGGGGGATAGTGGAAAGAACTCAGGCTTTGGAACCAGAAAGATCTGTGCTCACATCCCCAGCTGAGCTACTTATTTGATTAGAGGCAACCCAATCAACTTCTCTTCCCTTTCTCATCTCATCAGAAAGAGGATAACCCAAACCAGCTTGCAGGGTTACTTTGAGGATTAGCTATGTATGGCGTCTGGCTCAGAAGTGCTCAAACGATGGAGGCAACAATTTTTGAGGCAGTATTAATAATTGAGAGCACTGGTTTTAGAGTCATGGAGATTCACTTTGGAATCCCAGTTCTACCATTGTGTTAGCTATGTGACCTTGGACCAGTTATTTGACCTCTCCAAGTCTTATAAAAGTCTGTTATTTCACAGAGTTGTGAAGATTAAAAACAAGATGACATATAAATTATTAGCACAATGCCCAGGAGCCATCTTACTTTGAAGATTAAGCATCAATGACTGGCAAGTAAGAGGAAACACAAAAGACCAGCCTCCATGACTGAAGTCAATACTCTGGTGTTTTCCATCTCCTGGGGATCCAGCAGATCCTTGAGACCATATCCGTGCCTGGACCATTTCCCATCCCTTCCCTACAATGCTTCCTTTCTTCCTAGTAAAGATGATCACTCTTTCAATTAATCAATCACATGTTCCCAAACCCCTGTCTCAAGCTATGCTTCTAGGGTACCTGATCTAAGACTCTAGTATTTACAAGTGTTCAATAATCAGTAGTCCCGACTGTCATTAGGCTCTCAGAAAAAATAAAAAACCCACACTTCTCACTTAATATGAATTATAAGTTCACAATTTTCTTCTCATTTCTCGTAAGGACTAACCTTTTAGTAACTTGAGCCATGTTTCCTTTAATCCCAACTTGAGCCAACTCATTATTGAATAGCTGGGCAATTCTTCATAGATACATATGTAGACGGTCTATGTGATCTCACTCTTAAATATTAAGAAAACTTACATTGTTTTCCATTGCAAGGCGACGAACTGCAGGAGTCGCCAGTGTTTTCTGGCCCTTTATCTCTTGGTGTGTGTGTTCATCATGGGACACAGCAGGGGTTTCAACAACATCTTCTTCTGAATCTGGAAACAAGGTAAAATATTACTGTTTAGTAGAAAACATTAAAACAACAAGCTTGTTGTTCAGTCCTTTAGTTATGTCCAACCCTTTGCAACCCCATGCACTGCAGCATGCCACCATGTCCTTCACCATCTCCCTGAGTTTGCTCAAACTCCTGTCCGTCAAGTCGGTGATGCCATCCAGCCATCTCATCTGTCATCCCCTTCTCCTCCCGCCCTCAATCCTTCCAAGCATCAGGGTCTTTTCCAATGAGTCAACTCTTCGCATGAGGTGGCCAAAGTATTGGAGTTTCAGCTTCAACATCAGTCCTTCCAATGAACACCCAGGACTGATCTCCTTTAGGAGGGACTGGTTGGATCTCCTTGCAGTCCAAGGGGCTCTCAAGAGTCTTCTCCAACACCAAAGTTAAAAAGCATCAATTCTTGAGCACTCAGCCTTCTTTATGGTCTATCTCTCACATCCATGCATGACTACTGGAAAAACCATGGCTTTGACTAGACAAACCTTTGTCAGCAAAGTGATATCTCTGCTTTTTAATACACAGTCTAGGTTTGTCATAGCTTTTCTTCTAAAGAGCAAGCATCTTTTAATTTCATGGCTGCAGTCACCATCTGCAGTGATTTTTGAGCTTAGTGTCTTATAATATATAAATAAATTCCATTTAAAGTATATATTCAAAAAGCATGATAGATGAGCTACTTCGGAATGGAAAAACACAACTTTAAAACAGAAAAACAAACAAGGGTACTAGAGTGAGTGAGAGGGGTGTACTAGTACCAAGTACTGTTTAATGATTACGATTATCTTCTACTTACATCACTTCTGTTAAAATTATGTAGCAGCTACAAGTTAAAAAATGAGTTTCTTTCATAAATTTTAAAACACATGTATTAAAAACATTTTCTTAATAAATGTCTCATATTCATATATATGTACACTATATGTACTTTTGTATATATACATACATATGTATATATGGCATGAATTAAGAATCAAATGTGAGGTAAATTACATGAATCATGTGAAGTCTGTGAGAATATTAATAGCATTTAAATTTTTTTCTCTGCTTTGAATGCAATGAAGAATGCTGTGGAAGATTTTAGTTTCATGGCTAATACTAATTTGATAGTTTTGTTCTCTGCTAATACCAATTTGGTAGTTTTATTCTCTAACTCTGGAGTAGTGATGTAAGAAAAATAATCTTGGGCTATTAGCATGCATTTTTGCAACCAAAAAAGGTTTTGAGAGCATTTAATTGCCAAGGTTGGATGCTAGAAAGTCAATGCTGAGTATAGCAGAATCTCTGTGGGAATAAGTAAATTAGAGACAGCCTCTGAACATCAGCAGGCAACTGAGTTATCTTTGACATTCAATTCTAAGCAAACAAATTTCCACTGCTGCAGCTGTGGAAAGACATTGTATTCATTCACCTCCCTCACTAACCTATGAACTGGCCCAGTGGATCTCTCAAAGTTTCCCATATGGGTAAGGAAGAGAAAAAAGAAACAAACAAGTTTTGTATTGAACATGAAGGGTAGTAGAAAATGTGACTCCTGGAGTTCAGGACATACTGCCCAAAAATATTCCGCTCTGGTGTACTGATTATTTTGAGCCGTATGCAACTGGAAAAACATCAAATGCAAGGAGAGATTAATTCTGAGCTCTCATTTACCTAAAGACATCCAAAAGAAACTCAACTGTCGTAAGCTCCCTCCCCAGGAGAGAGTCTGACTTCTAGAGAAGATTGACTCTTATCACAGAAGAGACTAGAAATTTGTAACACAGACAAACTTTTGTCACAAACTATCATCAGTCAGTCAGTCAGTTCAGTCGCTCAGTTGTGTCCGACTCTTTGCGACCCCGTGGACTGCAGCAGGCCGGGCTTCCCTGTCCATCACCAGCTCCCGGAGTTTACTCAAAACTCATGTCCATCGAGTCAGTGATGCCATCCAGTCATGATCAAACTATCATACCTCCCACATATTCCACAAAGAGCCTGTTTATCTTTCCTAAAAATGGTTTACTCTCCCTTAAGAGGCTTCCTTCCCTCCTACTCTTTACTTTAAAACACTGTATTGTCCTGGCCAACATCTTTAATACTATATATCCGACACCTAACTTGTGTTGTTACTGCAGAATGTATGAACAGACACGTTGTTAGAAATGTAGTGCTAGTGTTCTAGGTGCAGAATGGAACTGATATTCCATCTTTGAAAACAATTTTCAGTGTAAGAAAGTAGTTTGGAACATGAGTTTCAGAAGTAAACAGAACTGGGGTCAAATCATAGCTCTACCAATTACCAGCCATGTGGTCATGGGCAACTTCAACCTCCATGTGTCTCAATGTTGCATGTGTCAACTGTGGATAATGATCTGTATGATTTAATGAGTCTATATATATTTATGTGTATATATATATGTATGTATCTATGTATATATATATATATAGCACATAAGCACAGAGAAAGCATTCAACCAATGATAGATGTTCATGTTAAAGGGTGAATGCAATATAATGGCAGAAGTGAAAGAGTGAAGTGAAGTTGCTCAGTCGTGTCCAACTCTTTGTGACCCAATGGACTGTAGCCTACCAGGCTCCTTGGTCCATGTTATTTTCCAGGCAAGAGTACCGAAGTGGGTTACCATTTCCTTCTCCAAATGGCAGAATAGGACCACTTTAATAAAGTATTCTGCTACCTCTTCTGCCCCCCTCTCTCTTCTGTATGGTGGCAAGAAGCCTCCATTAAAGCTTATTAGGTATAGAAACTTGCCAATTGTTTGACGGTCAAGCATTCTGGCGACTTAATCTTGTATATATAGTTGTAGGAACAGAACACCGAAAACAGCTGCCAAGTAGCCTCAACATAAAAACCATGCACTTGCTTCAGAGAAAAGGCATTTAAACTCTCAACTGGATCCTATTTTCTTTTCTTTTTTTCCCCCTATTTTCTTTTCTTAACACACACTTCTTGACAAACTTGGTTACCTGTGTTCCCAGAAAGTTAGGAAGGATTATAACAGCCTGTCACAATGACAATGCTAAGAGGTATGCTCAAAATAAAAAATCAGATGAAGAATTGTGTTTTTGTTTTTCCTAGAACAATGAATGTTTATTGACATATAGCTTTGCATAACAAAAAAAAATGATTTTAGGTTATACTCAATATACTCACTTCAAGAAAGAGTAAAATACATAGGATTTTAAAAAATAAATAAATGGGACTAATGAGCCCCATTAAATGAATTGTTTTGAAAAGTTTGGGTTCAAAAAGTTTTAGTTGCTTAGAGAAGTGAGGATTAATCTTACCTTTTAAAATTGAGGTTAGAGAAAGCCAAGTTAGCTATAAGGGGAACTCACAGCACTAGTCTAAAAATGGAGTTTATAGTAGACAGCACACTGAGGTATGAATCAGCTTTGATATAATCTTGATAATATTAAGTAACTAAATCATCAATTTGTAATTGTAAAGAGTATATGCTTTTTAAATGTCACAGATACAAGTTGGCATAAGTGAGTCTGGTGCGGTCTCTTCAAGTAGAGGTCTGTCTACAGCCAAAGCACTCATAAATAGGACTTGGAGGTCACAAATACATTTTTCCTGATCAAAATTATCATGATACCCCAATCTTAAAAAGTAGGTTAAAACACCATGTTACAAAGGACAGTACCATAGAATATTATTTAAACAAGAATTAAGACAGGATTTCATGTCCAATACTACTACTAAGATTTCTACTCTCGATCCTTTGCACTCTAGATGTAATTATTTTCTACTTGTAAAATGTACATAATATATCTTATACTCCTAAAAAATTTTCATTAGGTAATTTTCTTACTCATAGTATAACTGGTTTTCTCGGCACCAAAACAGGGAATAATATAAACAAATTCAGTATTACTGTAAATTTTTTTTTGGCTGTGCTAGGTTATACCTGTGGCATGTGAGATCTAGTTCCCCAAACAGGGAGTAAACTTGGGCCCCTGCATTGGGAGCATGAAGTCTTAGCCACTGGACTACCAGGGAATACCTTACTATAAATTCTTGTTTAAGACAAGGTACACAAAATATTTAGAAACCTTTTCCATTTCCAGAATTTAAAAAGAGGCATATATAAATTTCTTAAAAAACAATCCACTATTCTATAGGCTTGCTTATTTGATATATAGGATTATGCTTCATAGTTATTTTTACAATAAAAGATTTAATACAAATTATAGAAAATATAAATATAAAAGCAAAAAGACACACACACAAAATAAAACTAGCATGCAAGACAATTATTCAGAATGCATTATGAATAGCAAATGAAATAGTTAGCAATGATCATTTTTCTATGAGGAAAATTACCAGATAATTTTTACTCTCATAATCTATCTAATCACATTAAGTTTTTACAAATAACACATTATACATACATAAAATATAAAATTTGTTGAGTGTTGGAATACATATATATCCATAACCATCACTACAATCAAGACAGTGGATGTATCTATCACTCCCCAAAGTTTCCTTATATTCCTTAGTAATTCTTCCTTCCCTAACCTTCCCCACTCCCTACTCTATCAGCAGGCAACCACTAATTGGCTTGCTGTCATCATAGATTAGTCTGGATTTTCTAAAATTTTACTACTCTCCAAAATATATAAGCAACTCATGCAGCTCAATATAAAAAAACAACCCAATCAAGAAATGGGCAGAAGAACTAAATGGATATTTCTCCAAAGACATACAGATGGCCAACAGACACATGTAAAGATGCTCAACATCACTCATTATTAGAGAAATGCAAATCAAAACTACAATGAGATATCACCTCATACTGGTTAGAATGGCCATCATCAAAAAAATCTACAAACAATAAATGCTGGAGAGGATGTGGAGAAAAGAGAACCCTCTTGCATTGTTGGTGGGAATGTAAATTGATATAACCACTATGAAGAACAATATGGAGGTTTCTTATTAACTAAAATTAAAACTACCATATGACCCAGAAAGCCAACTACTGGGCATATACCATAATTCAAAAAGACGCACGTCTCCCAGCGTTCATTGCAACACTCTTTACAATAGCCAGGACATGGAAGCAGCCTAAATGTTTATCAACAGATGAATGGATAAACAAGATATGGTACATATATACAATGGAATAATATTATTCAGTCATAAAAAGGGTCAAACTTGGGTAATTAATAGTGATGTGGATGAACCTAGAGTTTGTCATATGGAGTGAATAAGTCAGAAAGAGAAAAATAAATACCATATGTTAATGCATATATATGGAAGCTAGAAAAATGGTACTGATGAACCTATTTGCAGGGCAGGAATCTAGATGCAGATGTAGAGAACAGACATGTGGACACAGGGGAGGAAGGAGAAGGACAGATGAATTGAGCAGCTATCATTGATATATATATACACACTACCTTGTGTAAAATAGCTAGCTAGTGCGAAGCTACTATATAGCACAAGGAACTCAGCTTGGTAATCTGTGATGATGACCTAAAGGGGAAGGATGGGGGTGGAGAGATGGGAGGAATGGGATATATGTCCACATACAGCTAATTTACTTCATGGTACAGCAGAAACTAGCACAACATCATAAAGCAATTATACTCCAATTAAAAACTAAATTAATGTACATGGAACCATATAGCATGTTCTCTTTATTTCTGGTTTCTTTGACTCAGAATAATTTTTCAAGATTCATCCATGTCATACAGGAAATTAATTTCTATAAAAAGGCTATTTAGAAAAAACATACCCCTTGCCTGAAAAAGTTTTTGACTTTATAATTTGCTATATCAAGACTTACTAAGTTGGATTTCACTGGGGATACCAAAAGAAACTTTAAAAATAAAAGCAAACAATAAAATCCCCCTCAAATCCCAATTGCTCACTTGTTCATACACAGTCAGCCCTGGGAATCCATAGGCTCTGGATTCATGGATTCAACCGTTGATTGAAAATATACAGAAAAAAATTCCAGACAGTTCCAAAGGGCAAATCTGAATTTGCTGAATGCCAGCAACTATTTACATAGTATTTACACTGTATTAGCGACTTAGCAGCAGCAGCAGCAGGTATTACAAGTAATCTAGAGATGATTTAAAATATAGTCTATATGCAAATACTGCACCATTTCATACAAGGGAGATGGGCATCTGCAGATTTTGGTATCTGTTTGTGTGCGTATGTGTCCTGAACCAATGCTTTGCCAATACCAAGAGACTACTATAATCTGCTTTTATGGATGGCCGAGATACATACCTAACCTGGTCTACAGCACCTGATTGGTTATTCTAATTTACTGACATCCACAGTGATGTTTAGCATCTTTGCTTGTTTCAGTTTATGTCAAGAATATAATTCTTTCAAGGTCTTAACTGAATGATAAAAAAAAAGAAAAAAACTGTATTATCTTGTTGACACATCAAAAGAATTCTGTACTTATTTCAGGTAATTAAAAAAAAATTATTTGCTTATTTCTGGCTGTGTTGGGTCTTCGCTGCTATGCAGGCTTTTTCTAGTTGCAGCAACTGGGGGCTGCTCTCGAGTTGCAGTGTGCGGGTTTCTCACTGCAGTGGTCTCTCTTGCTGAGCACAGGCTCAACAGTTGTGGTGCATGAGGCTAGTTGCTCCGCAGCATGTGGGATCTTCCCAGATCAGGGATTGAACCCATGTCTCCTGCATTGGCAGATGGATTCTTTACCGCTGAGACAACAGGGAAGCCCCTATTTCAGGTAATTTTTAAAGATAAAATCTTTCTTGTTTTTAATATTCCTAAATCATGCCTTTCAATAGAAATCTGAAATCAAGACAATAGGAAGCACCCCTAGTGCCCAGATTATGGCCTCTTATTCATTGCACATTAAAAGAACAAGAGCTCCTGAAGGAGGAGATGATTCCGGGTCTAAGCAGGAAAAGTACAAGATGACGCCAAAAGCAAGGAAGTTTTTGAAAATTAACAGGGTCGTATTAAAAGAACACACAGCAATCACCTTGAAATGGTCACCACTATTAATAATCAGAAATCAAATAAATAATAAGAAAGCTTCAAGAAGTTTTGGAGGCGACATGTTATGGTGGAAAATATTCTGGACAAAAACTCAGGACATCTGAGTTCTAAATTTGGCTTTGTGACTGCCATGGGCAAATCATCCAACGATGAACTTGTTAAACTGGATTACCTCATGAATAAGAACAAATAAAATACTAAGCGTGAAACATTTTATAAACTGTAAAGTGTGCCTATGACATTAGTTATATTACTGTACAGACTGAAGGACTAACAGTCAGCCAACCACTGTAGTTCAGACTCCTAAACTTCCCAACTTCACTATACTGAAAGGTCTTCATCTCAGCACTTTCGGAGAGATTGCTGGCTTAGGTTTGCATCACAGAATTACGGTCCCCCCTGCCCCTCCTCCACATCAAAGCTTCTTAGATGACATAACCTTGGTATATCACACCAATGCCAAAAGGAACTTCTGATGTAGAGGGTCAGCTATTTGCTACCATAGGGACAGTGCACGGCTTTAATTTTCCTATAACATTCTCATAATGAATTTCCTTTTGTCAGAACACCTAATGATTATAAGTTCCATGGCTGCTGCTGCTTCCGAATGCTAGTTTCTTTGCTCCCCACCCTGATTTTCCCTCTTTTCTACTTCTCTTTAAAAAGTTGGCTTTCATAACTACCACCAATGAGAATGTGTTTTGGTTTTCGTATCAGTGGCAAACAGAGCAATCCCATCATGTGAGATTTAATCTTTGTACATTCCAATTTTTACTAGTGACCAGTGTTCAACGCTTGAATCTTTCATTCCCAGGAGAGTTTGTTGCTTCTTTGAACATAAGGTTTATAGAAGGCAGGCCTCCAGATAAATAAAGTATTACTATGCATGTTTTTATATATAGTAATACTGATGCTTGCTCCTTAGAAGGAAAATTATGACAAACCTAGACAGTGTATTAAAAAGCAGAGACATCACTTTGCCAACAAAGGTCTGAATAGTCAAAGCTATGGTTTTTCCAGTAGTCATGTATGGATGTGAGTTGGACCACAAAGAAGGCTGAGCGCCGAAGAATTGATGCTTTTGAACTGTGGTGTTGGAGAAGACTCCTTTGAGAGTCCTCTGCACTGCAAGGAGATCAAACCAGTCAATCCTGAAGGAAACCAACTCTGAATATTCACTGGAAGGACTGATGCTGAAGCTGAAGCCCCCAATACTTTGGCTACCTGATGCAAAGAGCCAACTCATTTGAAAAGCCCCTGATGCTGGGAAAGATTGAAGGTAAAAGGAGAAGGAGGGAGCAGAGGATAAGATGGTTAGATAGCATCACTGACTCAGTGGACATGAATCTGAGCAAACTCCAGGAGATGGTGAAAGACAAGGAAGCCAGGCGTGCCGCAGTCCATGGGGTTACAAAGAGTTGGACACAACTTCGCTATTGAACAACAACAACAAATATATGTTTTTAACATGCTAACTGGTCTAAAGATAATCATGTATCACAGAATACCTTTCTGTTTTCCTTATCTCAGTTCGAAACCCTCAAATCAAATCATGTAAGTTATTCAAAGTAAACACCACTTTCAACTGGTACCCAATGACAAAAGTACACCAATAATCAAGTTGGCAAGTTGGATGAATATATATATATATATACATATATACAGTACCTTTTAAAGCTTCCGTTTCTATGTCTACTAATGGCTTTCCCACATAGGCAGTATCATCTAGATTATAATACAGCTTTTTAATGACTCCATCATAACGACTAGTGATAGTAACAGAAGCTTTATCACTTTGAACTTCACAGATGCTATCAAACTGAGACACTGTATCTCCTTCTTTTACATACCTAAAAGAAAAAGTCATAAGACACTTTTATGTGAACCATAGTACAGATCATCTGAAATAATAAAAATGCTGCACTGAATTAGATGAATATCCACGGAGCCCAGTATTGAGTCCCAAATGATACACTGAAGGATGTTTCAGAAGAGACTACAGTGGCTTTCAGAGGTTCTGTGATGCTTCTTCAAGAAGTATAAATTTTAAAAAAACAATGAAATACTCATAGATTTATAATCCAAAAATTTAATTAATGTATCAGATTTTTCTGCCTCACCCATTTCTTAGATGAAATATGAAAAATGTATTTTAAAAGTGTTATTTTCTTTTATTGTCTCAGCATTCATCACATTTTAAGGGATACCTATTATTTCTAGAATTAAATCTTAAAAACTGATATCCTCAATACATATCTCCTATACTTTTATGAATTGTAGTTTGAGTTCTTTGCCTTTGTCTCTTAACATGGCCAATTAATTTCAGAGTCAGTCTCTTCGGACCTGAGGTCCATCGCTCTTTCCTTGATCCCACAATGCCACAGAGACACAATTGCAAGGTACATTTATGTGATTATGGTTCTCTCCTAACCTACAGAGCAATTATAATGAAAACTACAAGGAAAGAATGTTTAGGTGTCTAAACGAGAGGTAAAAGGATCTTTAACAGTATAAAATTGTGGGAGAGAATCTATTGACTCACCTTAACTGCTAGTTCTCGAAACCTTTGAAAATTAGTTCAGTACTTGGAGGTGTTTCTGTTTTTCCAGAAAGGGAAAGAAAGAAAAGGGGTAGACGGAGGCCTAAGTAGAGGTCTTTTTAATTTTTGTTTCAAGCCCCTTTCTTTTTTACTTTTTTTTTAACCTTTGAAACAGTATTATTTGGTTCATGTCTTTTGTTTTAATATTTTAACCTGTTCTAAAAATATAGGCAAACTCTCAGGTAATGGTGAGTCAAATGTACTTGCATTCTTGCTGAAATCATTTTTAATAAACAGAGCTTAGAGTACATAACGATTTTAAAACATTTTGGAAAGAAGCTCTAAGTTCATTCATTAACAGCTTTTCAAAACACATGGTCATATCAACTTAGCATCTTTTAGAGACTAATTTATCTTTTTTTAGCTTAAGTGAAGGGTGGGCTGTGAAAAAAAATTTAAAAAGAGGAAAAAACAAACCTTAATAAATTACACTGAATAAAATGCCCTGATGTATGATGAACTATGCCACCAGTATAGTGGCAACAATAAATAGTAATTTAGTAATAATAAATAGTAATTAATAGTAAATAGATTTACTTTAAAGCTTAAAAAATACATATGTTATAAAGAAAGGTGTTTCAATTTAAATAGATTCCTATTTATTTGTACTCAAATTACTTTTATACTTACTTTAAAAATTTCAGAATAACTTACCATTCTTTAACAGTTACTTCTCTAATCCCTTCTCCAATGTCTGAGAGTTTGAACTGAACAATCTGTCCCTGGAGAGCTTCAAAAACAAATAAGAAACAATGATAATTAAATACATAATGTATTGCTAACAGACAGATGCTTTGACATCTAAAATTAGAAAATATTCTCAGAGGCAGAAACTATTCTATTTCATAGATTCAAAACAGTATTTTAGGATGTTTAAAAGCATAGCCATCATTCATAACCATCAAAGATTTAAATAAATTACTCAGTGACACAGACTTGTTGATACTGCCATAGAACGATTATTTTCCAGTTTCCAAAATAATGTTGTTTTACAAGGGGATAGAAGGCCCTTCCAACAAATGAGATTTTGCACTAATAGCAATGAACAGAAAATAGAACTGGATATTGTACAAAGGGAGATTCAGCTGGATCTCCTTGTTTTATGTTATTAAACTATAATAAACATTAAAGACCTGCTCTTAAAATCTCTTGTCTTCATACAACTCTTCTCACTCCCATTGCCTAAAGATCAGGCAGATCCATATTAGAAGACTTGGAAAATTCTTAATCTGCCCAAATAATGTTCTGCTAGCTTATTAAATTTTAGTTTTCTATGTCTTCTTTCCATTTTTTTTTTAAACTCCTTTTTGAAGTTCTACATCCTTTTTATAACATGTAGATGCCAAAGATACTTTATGGCAATTATTTCCAACAGACATTATTTCTGGTCAACAAAAAGTATGTATGGATCCTCTCACTTTTCTAAATTAACAAATAGCTCTGAAGTGACTGAAGAATGCTCCTCCCTCTTTTTCTTTGTTCAGTCGCTCAGTCATGTCCAACTCTTTGGGACCCCATAGACTGCAGCATGCCAGGCTTCCCTATCCTTCACTATCTTCTGGAATTTGCTCAAACTCATGTCTATTGAGTTGGTGATGCCATCCAACCATCTCGTCCTCTGTCGTCCTCTTCTCCTCCTGCCCTCAATCTTTCCCAGCATCACGGTCCTTTCCAATGATTAGAATACTATTAAACAAAATTGCTGGTAAAACACAAGTTAAGGTAGGGAACTTTTCTTTAAGAAATATGAGATTAGTACTTAAGAAATACAAAATATATTTTGATAAGAACAGTCTTTTGTTTCCACTCCAGTAAGTTGTGCTCTCTCACAGCCTGTTGCTCATAGTGTAAATGGGAACCCTTTTGAAAAATAGTTTTGGCATTAAGTATCAAAAACCCTGGGGGAAAAAAAAACAACTCTGTATCTTTGATTCTATAAGTAATTCTACTTTTAAGATTTTTTTTTTCCCTGAATAAATAGAGAGGTACACAAAGATTTCTGCTCAGGAATAGTTATCATGGAGTTATAATAAAGAACTGGAAACTAACTGAAGTGACCAAAAAATGACAAGTAATTATACTATGGCACCTCTACAAAAAGCAATATTATGCAAGGAACGGCTTGTGCAAGGGCATGGAAATATGATAACGCATAGCATAGTCAGGGAATGACAAACACTTCTATACAGCTGATGATCGGATATGTGGCAAGAAATCAGCCCAGGCTTAAGACTTTGTGTGCCATGATAAGGTGAAGTGTTTGGAATTTATCCTAGGAGTAATCAGGAAAGTGAAAATGCAAGTCACTCAGTTGCGTCCAACTCTTTGCAATCCCATGGACTATACAGTCCATGGAATTCTCCAGGCCACAATACTGGAGTAGGTAGCCTTTCCCTTCTCCAGGGTATCTTCCCAATCCAGGGATTGAACCGAGGTCTCCCGCAATGAGGGCAGATTCTTTACCAGCTGAGCCATAAGCAAAGCCCAAGAATACTGGAGTGGGTAGCTTATCCCTTCTCCAAAGGATCTTCCCAACCCGCGAATCGAACCAGGGTCTCCTGCATTGCAGGTGGATTCTTTACCAACTGAGCTATCAGGAAAGCCCAGGTAATCAGGAATCAGTGGCAAAGAAATATAGTCTTAAATTCTTTTGAAGCTGTTCCCCAAAACAGTAAAGTTTACTTTACCACTACTTAAATCTATGCTGGCCCATGACTTGTTCTGACCAATAGAATATAGCAGAAGTCAAGTTGTGTGAGTTCTGAAGTTGCAAGCCTCCCTCTGAGACCTCTCAGAATCCCTCTTCTTCCTCTTGGAATGTGTCTTGAAATCCCCATATAAGGAAGCTGTTCTAGGTTACTGAAGGATGAGAGATGCTAAGTGCAGGAGAAAAAAAGAGATGTCCCAGCCAAAATACAACACCAATTGTCAGACATATGAATAAGACCATCTTGGACCGTCTAACCCAGAAGACCTTGTAGCTGAATCTAGTCACACTAGTGAGCCCAGGTGAAACCAGCAGAGGAACCGCCCACCCAACCAACCCCCAGAGTGCTAAAGAACAATAAATCATTGTTCCCCTAGGCCACTAAGTTGTCGGGAAGGTTATTATTTAGCAATAATTAGCTGATAGGGAGGCCCATCTACAATTTCACATCTGCAACTTTGTATCTATAATTTCAGAGAAAAATATCTCTGGCATGGGTGTGATAGAAAAGGTTGGGAAGGGGTGCAGAGAAAACAGGAGGTTATTGTAGATAAGAAATTGAAGTATAGAATTGAACATATTTATATATTTTCAAAGCTGTCTGAAAAGGAGAAGACAGGCTTAAAAAATACATAAGATATAATATTACTAGGTCTTGGTAATCAACTCGATGTGAGACAAGAATCAGGATGGCTCCAGGTTTCTAGCTTAATTATTTACTGAGTTAGGGAATAATAGGAAGAGGATATATCCTAAGTAAGTACAGCAATGCCCTTGGCACACAGTAGGTGATCAGTTATCAGTGTTGAATGGCTGTACTCTCACAATAATACAAAGTTGTATAATACTATGATTACTCTATTTCCAGATGATTAAACAGACAAATTAAGTAACTTGCTTATGGTCACACAGCTAGCACATGGTAGACCAAAGAATCCAAAGCCTGGGTCCCTTCACTGTTCACCCAAAACTATCAGAACATTGTTAATTGGCCATATCCCCAATACAAAATGCTTTTGGTGTTAAAAATAAATCAAATTTATTTTTTTGAATAAATTCTAATAAATTTAAATTTATTATTTATTTATTCAAATAAATTGAATTTATTTGAATAAATAAATTTTATTTTTAAATAAGTAAATAAACCCAAAGCTTGTAAGAGTTTAGAGACTAGAGCAGGAAGTTCGAGTTTCTGCTTGAATTGCCTTTATTTTCTCTGAGAAGAGAAAAGATCAACTTTTAAAAACAAATCTTTTTCTTAATGGTGAAGACATGGTTTACATATTTTCAGGTGTTGTGGAAGATGACATACACAAGGAACAGGAGGACTAACTTATCTCAGGGATTAGATTCAGCTGAAATCCCCTTTTTCCCCCATCACCAGCACAGACTAAGGCACCAAAGTATCTGTCAAAAGCTTAATGATACAACAAAAGCCTAGGGTCATAAGGGTTCTAAATAAAACTCTGAATAGAACAGCAAAAAAAAAAAAAATGTGTTTTTTTTTTTTCCTTTTGCCTTATCTAATACTTTAAGCCTCAAGTTCTTTGCAAGAGTAGAAAAAGTTGGAGAAAGGTAATTAAGCGTGAAGCCAGAGAACTTTATGTGGAGAACCTCACATTGCGTTCATCACGCTATCATAACATGACAGATTGAGTGCCTCATAGAACAAAAATAATAATACAGTGAGTTGAAGGACACAGTCCACTAAATCAACAACTTAATTTAAGTCATATCAGTGCTGACTCTTGCATTTAGGTAAGTCATATGATAAAGAACAGACGACCCAAGAGAACACTCAGATGTTAAACACAGAGAATGCATTCACAGCATTATAGACACAGTATTAAGGGAAAGTACATGAAAGGGGAATGGGAGGTGGGGGTGCAAAAAAAAGAAAAGGAGAATTGGATAGATGTGTGGAGAGCAAGGAGGGCCAGACTAAAAGTAAAAGGTCAACTCTTTTACTGTGATAAGTCTTCAATTACTGAATAAATACACAAAACATTATTTTGTATAGGCTATTTTGAGATCATACTTACCAGCAGTTGTTCTTAGCCACTGATGTGGATGACTGTACTTGAATGGAGGATAACCAAAGAAACACACATATTCTGGCTTCAAAACATTAACGTTACCACATGTTTGAAAGTAGCGGACCCAAATCTAGAGATGAGAAAACAAAAAAAATTAAGAACTTTTTTTTTTAAAGAGCTTTTATAAATGAGTTTAATGGCTTGTCTCTAAATATAAACTTCATTTCAAGTTTATTCTAAAAGTACAACAATCATTATCACAATGCAAACAATATGAAATGATCTAGGTTGAAATCAGAATACTTGGCATTAGTGATGAGTTTATAAGTATTTCTGGTCAAGAAACCAAAGGAATTCAAACCCTAGCACACAGAATATGTTGTTGCTCATTTGTTACAATTATATCCTTAGAGTCTGATTTGCCCATATGCTTATTATCCTTGACTAAAATTCCCTACGAAAGTGAAAAAGTTTAACAGTGTATTCTATATAAACACATCAGTGTAAGTATATTTGAGTCATTAAAGACTTCCTGAAATTAAAAGTGACTGCTACTGTTTACAACAGCCAAGACATGGAAGCAACCTAAATGTCTATCAGCAGATGAATGGACAAAGATGCAGTACATATATGTAATGGAATATCACTCAGCCATTAAAAAGAATGAAACAATGCCATTTGCAGCAAGATGGGTGGACCCAGAGACTGTCATAATGAGTGAAGTCTGTCAGGCAGAGAAAGACAAATATTGTATGATACCACTTATCTGCAGAATCCTAAAAAATAAAAAAAGATATAAATGTGCCTATTTACAGAACAGAAACTGATTCCCAGACTTAGAAAATGAATTTATGGTTACGGGGGGAGAGGTCGGTGTGGGGATAGGGACAGATGGGGTCTGGGATTGACAGGTATACACTGCTAAATTTAAAATCAATAACCAACAAGGATCTATGGTATAGCACAGAAGACTCTGCTCAATATTATGTAACAACCTAAATGGGAAAAGAATTTGAAAAATATATACATGTATATGTATAACTGATTCACTTTGCTGTACACCTAAAACTAACACAGCATCGTTCATCAACTATACTCCAACATAAAATAAAAAAGTTAAAAGCGACTGCCAGCATCTAACTACACTGAAAAACACATGTAGTATTGCACCCAAAGGTTTTCTTATTGTAATTCATAGATTAAATTTAACTATTTTATATAAAATCATGGTATAATACAATGTTACAGAAAAATAACCAAAGTCGGGCTGAATGTATCTCATTTGATAAATCATATACATATTTGATATATATAATCTAAGTGTGTAAAAGGTATAGTATTTTTTTGAAAGTTAACATTTTCATGATATGAAATGTCATGGCAATGCACTCCAGTATTCTTTCCCAGGAAATCCCTGATTAACTACATCACACTTTTTAACATTTTTATACAATTTTAAAATATTACAGTTTGTTTAAAATTATCACAAAGTTTTGGCTATATTCCTCACTTTGTACAATACATCCTTGAACCCATCTTATATTTTCCATACCCCTACCCTAAGTTTCCCTCCCTCCCACTGGAAACCACTGCCTTGTTCTCTGTATCTTCAAGTCTCCTTCTTCTTTGTCCTGTTCACTAGTTTATCATATTTTTTAGATTCTACACATAAGCAATATCATATAGTACCTTTTTTTCTCTGACTTATTTCACTTAGCATAATGCTTTTCAAGTCCATCCATGTTGTTGCAAATGGCAAAATTTTCATTCTTTTCTATAGCTGAGTAGTGTTTCATATCTTCTCGAACCATTCATCTGTGGACAGACACTTAGGTTGCTTCCATATCTTAGAAATTATAAAAATGTTGCTATGAATATTACAGTATATGTACCTTTTCAAATTAGTGTTTTCTTTTTTCAGATATGTACCCAGGAGTGGCACTGCTGGGTAATACAGTAGTTCTATTTTCAGTTTTTTTTTACAAACTTCCCTACTGTTTTCCACAGTGGCTGCACCAATTCACATTCATACCAATAGTGTATGAGGGTTCCCTTTTCTCCACATCCTTGCCAACATTTGTTTTTTGTGTTCTCTTTGATGATAGCCATTTTGACAGGTGTGAGGTGTTATGATATCCCAATGTGGTTTTACTTTGCATTTCCCTGATGATTAGCAATGTTGAGCATCTTTTCATGTGCCTGTTGACCATCTACATTTCTTCTTTGGAAATATGTCTATTCAATTTTGTCCATTTTTAAATGCAGAGTTGTATGATATGGCTTGATCAAATTTATCAAATGGAGCAGAGGAAGGAACTCAAGGACCAAATTGTTGATGACTGGAAATGTCAGGTCAAGGAGTTTGAAATCATACATTATGGGTTATTGTGAGTATGTATGTGTATATGTGTTTATTAGATAATAACAGCGAAGCCTGAAGGGGCTTCTCTGTTGGCTCAGTGGTACAGAATCCACCTGCCAGTGCAGGAAATGTGGGTTTCATCCTTGGGCTGGGAAGATCCTCTGGAGAAGGAAATGGAAACTCACTCTAGAATTCTTGTCTGGGAAATCCCATGGACAGAGGAGCATGGTGAGCTACAGTCCATGGGGTCGTAAAAGAGTCTTCGTGACTAAACAATACTAACAACAATGCCTAAAGAGAAAGGACAAAGTTAAGAAACTATTATTGTATTTGAGACATGAAACCACAGGCTCCTGGCTGAGATGATGAGTGGAAAAAGAAAGAAAGCAACATAAATGCAAAATGATTACTAGCAATTGGATGTCTATTAAGAGAAAGCTAAAACACATTAGTGAAGCTGCTGACTAAAAGGATAAAAAGGAAGGGAGAAAGAGAAAAAAAATTTCAAACAGGAAAGACTTTTTTTCTACAAGCAACACACCAAAAAATAAAGAGTAATGAAAAGAGGATTTAGCAGACTCCCATAATAAGGAAATAAATTAGTAGTAATTCATCAGGCAGTTGTTGAGCACATTGTAAAGACAGGATTATTCTTCACTCATGAATTCAAAGCTAAATAAGAAATAGAATAGTCTCTGAATTAAAATTGTTTACACTTTACTGCAGGAAGATAGACAAAATAGATAAATTCAGGATGACAGGATAAGTAATCAAAAGTCAAATGCATGATGCCATAGGAAAGTATAAATATAGTATAATAAGGCTTTCTTAATAATTTACTGTAGGTGATAAGACCTCTTGCTGCTTATGATTTTTTAAATAACACATGGAAAAAAACAGACTTTTTAATAAGCAGTTCAACAAAGGTTCATTGAGTACCTACTATGTGTCAATCACTTAGGATCAGAGAACAAAATTGCTGTGATTCCTTCCCTTATGGAATGTGTAGCCCACATTGTGAAAGATAAAAACAGGACTACCGGTGATTACAACAGTGTCATAATGGGAGAAGTAGTGTTAAGAAGACACAAAGGAGAAAACCTACCTGGAGAAAGTGAGGTAAGACCTAAGGGATGAGTAGGAGTCAGCCAAGGAGTAAAATGTGTTGCCGAGAAGGCTATAGGGAAGTAAGGCAAGGGTCTTTAAAACAGGAAATACATGTGCAAAGGTCTGGGGGACAGAGAGGAAGGGAGAACAGTGTGCTTAATTAACTGAAATTGTTCAGTATTCTAGCATAGCTTACTATGAGCTAAGGGTGACGCTTCAAGAGTGGGTTTTAGGTGGGTTTTAGAAAGGAATAAAGCCTGGAGAGATTGGAAATATTCAGATCATAAATAGCTTCATAGTCATTTGAATTCTGAATATTTTGCTGAGAGCAGTTTTAAGTAAGGCAATGACACTCTCAAATTTATATCCTACTTTATAAAATGACTCTGGCCATGCTATGGAGAATAGGTAGGAGAAGTACAACATTAGAGGCAGAAAGTCCAATTGAGGAAGGTCCAGGATACCTGCGGCTGGCGACAAGGTGTAGAACAATGACTAGATTTTTGAGAGACTTCTAGGCTAGAAGAAATAGGTTTGAGGACTTAGTTCTGGAGTCTAGAGTCTGATGTATCTTATAGGCATTATAGCAATCACTGTGAAACAGCTAAAGGCTAGCCCTTCCAAGCTCTCTTGGGGTAGCAGTGGCCAAGTTATATCACTAACCAATGAATCCAGCCGGTACCATCCCTGCCTCCTTCCTACCCTGAATACAAAGTTGTAGAGCCCTGATAATGATGAGCCGCTTAATCAATCCCAGCTGCCATCTAACTTTCAGATGCTTTGTATACACGGATAATTTCCCATTTACTGGTTGGGTTTATTACCTATAGCTGAAAAATACCTGAAATACAAAAAATCTGGAGATTTTCAGGGCAGTAAGATATATGGGTCTGCAGCAGAGCTGGCTGGAAGACTGGGGAATCACAGCATATAAATGGAAGTACACAGATGACCAAAGTCACAAGCCTGAGAAACACGAGTGGTTAAAAGCTGATCAGGGAAAGCGGAGAAGACTGGGACGAAGTGTTCAGAGACGTAGGAAGAATACTGGGAAGCTGCTGTCACAGAAGCCCAGGATGAAGAACTTTCAAAAGAGAATCTAGTGAGATGCTGCAAAGAACTTATTTCTCCTGATTACCTCCTTCTTGTATCTGTGCTCATTCACATCCAGCCCTTTGCAACGACACGGACTGGAGCCCGCCAGGCTCCTCTGCCCATGGGATTCTCCAGGCAAGAATGCTGGAGTGGGCTGCCATTTTCCTCCTCCAGGGGATCCTCACCACCCAGGGACCGAACCTTCAAAGTCTCCTGCATTGGCAGGAGGATTTGTTAAAACACGGTGCCACCTGGGAAGCCTTATCACCTAATTAGCTGTCACAAATCTCACACTATACACTATCCACTGCGAAACTCGTTGACCCCCAAGGCCCCTTCTACGTGTTCCTGTAGTTCTATGTACTTGCGCCATCGTTTCACGCAGTGCTGTAATTATTTGTCTAATGTCTACCTCTCTCTCCCCTATGCCCCACCACAAAGCTGTAATTAAACCGAGAGGGCAGAGATCAGGGTCTTGTTTATACATATTTCCATCTCCAATTCCTGGTACCTGGTATAGAGCAGGCTTTTGAAAGGTTTTTGTAAGATCAGGGATCAAACGCTGTAGGAAAATTCGGAACAGGGGACCCAGGAAGAAATAAAAACAAAAACGCTATGCAAATAGGATGAAACACTACGATTACTGGGATGTTAATTGTTTGATGCTAAAAGACTGTATGAAAGGGGAGAAATGAAGGGGAAATGGTGGGTCGTAGTTCTGGTGATTTAAAAGGTTGGAAAGATGCTGGTACAAGTGTGGGAGACAAGTCTAAGTCTAAAGAAGGAAACGAGCCTCCCAGATGCCCGGAGGCAAGGACCTATGGTGTTATGCTTTTCTTGCCCAGGATCTTCCTCTAGATTGTAAATTCATCGAGGAGAGGGGTCGTATTATCAGTTGTGAAACAAAGTGGTGCTCAATAAATGTTTGACGGATATAGTATATATATTTCAGTATCCCCAGTGCCAAACACAATGCCCGCTACCCAGATGGTGCTCAACGAAAAGCTATTGGGCAAAAGACCAGCTGGGCTTTGGGGCGCAGATGAAGCGGCAGGGAGGAGAGTCGCGACAGATGGGCACCCTGGTATAGATCGAGAGCATGGGTTTCCAAACAGGTTGGTTAGCCACCGTCGCTGCCCTTCGTTTTGCATACATCCCTCTACCTCCCCATCACGCGAGCCCTGTACGTGAGGCACTTAGAGGAAAAATCAAATCATCTCTCCCAGGCAACTCCAGATAAACCACTCCGTCCCGACCCCAGATCGGCCCAACCTGCTTACCAGCTGCCTCGCAGTCCGGCTCCAGGTCCTCAGCACACGCGCAGCAGCCATCTTCCTCCGGAAATGACAAGTGCTCTGAGGTTGGAGGAGCGGCCTCGGCCGGGGACAGACGGGGAGAGCGGGCCGTCCCAGATCTCATTTCAGGGACAAAGTTGGGTGGAGTACTGCTGTGCAAGTACTTATCCGCCCACGACGATCATCTTTTCAGCCCAAGTCGGGGAGATAGAGTGTGTTAAGGAAACGTAAAGGAAGGAGAAAGATCGGAAGAGTTAAGTAGGAAACAAACCTTCCTTCAGCTCGTATTGTAACCGCTTGATTACAGAAAACGGGACATTTCTATACAGACTCTGTAGAAGGAAGTGTTAGTCGTTCAGTCGTGCCCGACTCTTTGCGATCCCATGGACTGCAGCCCACCAGGCTCCTCTACCGATGGGATTTTCTAGGCAAGGACACTGGAGTGGTTTGCTATTTCCTTTTCCAGGGCATCTTCCCTACCTAGGATAGAACACAGGTCTCTGCACTGCAGGCAGACTCTTTACCGACTGAGCTACCAGGGAAGCAAGTTGAATCAAGTCTATACCAGAATACTTCCTAATAACTGGCATTTTTCTTACTGGCACTGTGTTCTTGGTTACCGAAAGTGGCTTTAATGGAAGGTGAACAAGGTTACTATATCGAAGATAAACGTCATCAACATTAGCTTTCCTTCTTAGGGTATTTGACAGATATAGCTGCCCCGTATATGCAATATATGTCACAGACACTACCTTGAATTATTTGCCTCTGGTAGAAATGTCAAATTGAGCTCAGTGGAAACAGTAAAGACAAGATCAGAGCTTTAACGGTCAGTCCTTTTCACAGCAACTAGAAAATCAGTTTCTAGAAATGTCCGGGATGATATTTGTCTTTTCTTCCTCTTACATGGGAAAGATAATCTGGACAGATGTTTACAGCATTACAGAGAAAAAAACACAACAAAGACAAAATCGTAAATCTCAACACTGAAGATTAGTGGCTGTAAAACAAAATCTTAGGTACTTCACAAACTCAGTATCTATATTACTCAAACTCACACTTTCAATTTTGCCTTATGAGCCTTTCAGTATAGTTCTTACACACACACAACTGTAAGAAATAAATCTAAATCACTTACTTTATTAGAAAATCTGGGATAGCCAAAGAACTTTGATTTTTTTGTTTTAGCTTTTCCCCTAATAAAACTAAAGAGCCTCTTGATGAAAGTGAAAGAGGAGAGTGAAAAAGTTGGCTTAAAACTCAATATTCAGAAAACTAAGATCATGGCATTTGGTCCCATCACTTCATGGCAAATAGATGGGGAAACAGTGAAAACAGTGAGAGAATTTTTCAGTTCAGTTCAGTCGCTCACTCATGTCCAACTCTTTGCAATCCCATGGACTACAGCACTCCAGGCTTCCCTGTCTATCACTAACTCCCGAAGCTCACTCAAACTCCTGTCCATCCTGTCGGTGATGCCATCCAACCATACTTTCTATAAGGTGGCTAAAGTACTGGAGTTTCAGCTTCATCATCAGTCCTTCCAATGAATATTCAGGACTTATTTTCCTTTAGGATTGACTGGTTGGACCTCCTTGCAGTCCAAGGGACTCTCAAGAGTCTTCTCCAACACCACAGTTCAAAAGCATCAATTCTTCGGTGCTCAGCTTTTTTTTAGTCCAACTCTTACATCCATACATGACTACTGGAAAAACCATAGCTTTGACTAGATGGACCTTTGTTGGCAAAGTAATGTCTCTGCTTTTTAATATGCTGTCTAGGTTGGTCATAGCTTTTCTTCCAAGGACCAAGTGACTTTATATTGTGGGGGGGGGGGGGCATCCAAAATCACTGCAGATGGTGACTGAAGCCATGAAATTAAAAGACACTTGCTTCTTGGAATAAAAGCTATGACCACATGGACAGCATATTAAAAAGAAGAGACATTCTTTTGCCAACAAAGGTCCATCTAGTCAAACCTATGATTTTTGCAGTAGTCATGTATGGATGGGAGAGTTGGACCATAAAGAAAGCTAAATGCCAAAGAATTGATGCTTTTGAACTGTGGTGTTGGAGAAGACTCTCGAGAGTCCCTTGGACTGTAAGGAGGTCCAACGAGTCTATCCAAAAGGAAATCAGTCCTGAATATTCATTGGAAGGACTGCTGCTGCAGCTGAAGCTCTGATACTTTGGCCACCTGATGTGACTTATTGGAAAAGACCCTGATGCTGGGAAAGATAAAAGGCAGGAGGAGAAGGGGATGATAGAGGATGAGATGGTTGGATGGCATCACTGACTCGATGGACATAAGTTTGAGCAAGCTTTGGGAGTTGGTGATGGACAGGGAAGCCTGGCATGCTGCAGTCTATGGGGTCACAAAGAGTTAGACACAACTGACTGCACTGAACTGACTGGCTAACAACATTTTATAGACACTAATAATATGTTTCATAATACTCCATGCATGTGTTTGTATAAAAAGATTAAGTAACTGTGCCTTTGAACTGAATTATTTTTCTTCCTAGAGTCCCTATACTACCTTTTCCCTCTAACTTTCCCTTTATAGAAATTCTGGGTTTTGAGAGGACAAGTATCCTTCACCTCAGTCTTTTTAAGTTATTCTTGCCCTTTTGTACTTTCATAGAAACTTTAGAATTGGCTTGTCAGGCTTTTAAAAAGTCCTGGTGGGCATTTGATGGAATCTTATTGAAGCTATATTTTCAATAATATAGCTAAAGATTCTTCAGGGTTTTATTTGTAGGTAATAATATCATCTAAGAATAATGATGGTGCTTTTTTTGTCTGTTCAATCTTGTGTCTTTCATTTCTTTCTTGTAGAACCTGGTTAGACTCCCATCATCTTTGAAATTATGGCGTAACAAGCCATAATTGTGGACATTCTTATCTTGTTTTAACTTGAATAGATGTCTCACATTTTACTATTATTTACTGTTATTAAGAAAGAAATTTTCTGTAGGGTTTTCCAGATATCCTTAATTAGGTTAAGGGAGTTTACATTCATTTCTAGTTTTGTTGGATTTTGTTAAATCATAAATAGGTCTTGATTTTTTTAAAATGCTTTTTCTTCATCTTTAATGTGATCTTAGGTTTTTGATATATCATCATGACATTTTTCTAATGTTAGAATGATAATCAATCTCAATTTGGTCATAATATACAGTATTTTATAAACATTGTTGGAGTTATTTGTTAATATTTTGATTGATCAGGATGCATCTAAATTTATAAATAAAATTGGCTTATACTTTTTCTTCTTGCTGTCATCTTTGTCTGGTTTTGGTACCAGAGATTGGGTAAAGTATACGCATTCCCAGAGCTTTCCCTGTTACAACAATGATAGAACATTGGGATTAGGAGACAATGATGTTCCTAATGATGATCATCAAACAATGATGTTTGATGTTCACATCAAACCACAGAAGTTTATATCCCAGTATTCGTTAACAACTGTGTAGCCTTGCAGCAAATTGTTTAACACATGCAGCTGTAACTCAGAGTAAAAACAGTAAATATTTTAGCAGGTTGTGCAAGCATGCAGCGGCCAAATAATAAATGTTGGCTGTTATCTGTATGATTTGTCATATTCTAATTGCTGCTCCCTCTTAACTGTAAGATAGGTGCAGTATATTTTTATCATTAAGAAAATTGACATCATAATTGCTTCTCAGTCTCTCCTATGTGCTTCCAATATTTTCGGGCAGAGAATACCTTACTCTCCTTTGCTTACATAGAAAGGATTGCACATGATTTGGTACTCAGTTAATGTAGGAATTGAACCACAAGCGGAATCAAGAAGCTTGTTGTCCTTTCTGTCCTGGCCTTTGGTGAATTACGTTAGTTGCACTGTTCATTACAGCCATGAGGTTGGACTCTTTCTCCGACAACGTGGCGTAACTTGGGCTTTTTGAGAATTATACTACTGATTCTGACTCTGTCCTTTTCCACTCATCCCCAAAGAATTGGTGTCTCACAGGAGAAAAAAAAGATGATAATATTCTACACGAGCGTGCGCACAGAAACAGACGCCGGTGAAGAACGAGAGGCTCACGGGTATCATCAATGCGCCAGGGAAACACATTTCAAGGGCCAGGCTGCAGAGAAGGCAAACCCGACCAGAGACAAGGTGGTCAGTGCATCGCAGGGACTTTCCTACTCTTCAGTTTTAAGAGTCTCCAGTTTTGGTACGGCAGGATCCCCGAGAAAACAGTGATAAACACAGATATTTGCACAAGCCTGCGAGACAACTGGAGGAGACGACTAGAGGTGAAAGGGAAGCTTTCTGCAATCTGCGCGTTCTCCTGTGCTCAGGGTGCAAGTCCACTAGGGACAGATTTCCTGAGATGCTCCGGAGCACCTCCCTGGCCACCACCCCTTCGGCCGGAGAGCTTCCGATTTGTCGGAATTTTCTGGGCGCCGCCTCTTTAAGAGGCGCGCGGCGCGCACGCGCACTGGTTGTGGGCCTGAAGAACTCGGCTTTTGAGCGCCGTGCGTCCGGGTTCGAGTCTGCGGAGTTGGGCGTTCCCCGAGCCGGCGCGTCCTCTGCTTTTCCGCAGAGCCCGGCGGGCCCGAGCAGGGAGCGAGGACTCGGGCTCCGGAGCTGCGGGGCCGGAGTCCGCGTATCCTCTTTCTCCCGTTCGGGCCGAGGCTACGTCGCGGGGGGCCGGGCCCCAGCACGCTCCCCATGGCGGGGCCGCGGGTGGAGGTGGACGGCGGCATCATGGAAGGGGTGAGTGCCGAGCACGAGGCCTGGCGGGGTGCGGCTGCCGCACGGGCTGCGGCGGAGAGCTTGCGGGTCTAATCTCTCTCCTCTCTCGGCACCAGGGCGGGCAGATCCTGAGGGTGTCCACGGCCCTGAGCTGTCTGCTGGGCCTCCCTTTGCGGGTGCAGAAGATCCGAGCCGGCCGCAGCACGCCGGGCCTCAGGTAAGTCGGGGCGCCGAGGAGTCTGGTCGTGGGACTAGAGGGTGGGGGGCTGGCGCCGGGCTAGGGACTCAGGGAGAGGAGGGGATAGGCCGAGGGACTGGA